CACCCTGCTCAGTTCCTGTTTGCTCAGCCCAGTAAGTGTGCCTACCCAATAATCCCAGTAGAGGAAATCCCAGTGAGTGCTTGTTTTCAATGGGGTTTTTTTCTCTTTATGTTTCTTTAACACCCACTAAGTTAAACTTCTGAGTCAAAATTTGACATTCTGTATCACTTTGCTGCAGTTAAACAGCCTGGCAAGCCATCCTATATAATATATATATATTAGGGATGTCCCGTTCCAATATCGATATCCAAAGTAACTTGATATCGGCCCAAAAACAGTCTGTCGGATTATATCGGACGTCATCAAAAATCTCCAATATAAGAAGTTCGTTAAGGTTCACATTTTTGCAACCAATGGTTAAGAAAATCATTTCATTTTTTTCATACTTACTATTATTGGGTCTTGTTTTCCGATTGAGTAATATCACTCGATCAAGCCTTTCATAGATTCCACACTACAAAATAGGTAAATGTATATATGATTTGGTCTGATATCATATCAGATTGGTATCTGTATCGGTCAGTACTGACGGCTGCAATATCTGTGTCGTATCAGAAGTGAAAAAGTTGTATCAGACATTCCTAATATGAATAAAGTCTAGCAACGAGCCATAGACACAAACCATTGGGGCAGAATCTACGGTTGTCTCTCAAACTGTCTGTGCATGCAATTGGACAGCACTAGGACCAATAAGAGCAACGAACAATGTGACTTATTCTTAGCAACAAAAACGGGGCAGTACGCTATACACATTCAAAGAAGTACCTCCATCTGCTCATGTCTCAAAGAAAAGTCAAAGTCTAAATCGTCTAAAGTTGATGCCTAAGCTGTTCAAACGAGTGTCATTCCTGAGCCAACACCATTGTTGTTGTTCTGCACCTTTGCAGCTCTGGGTCAAAACCTGCCTAATGTCTCTCTACATAGTCTCTCTACAAAGTGCTGTAATTGGCCCAGCCTACACTTAGCAAAGCCAATGGCAGGCCTGCTGGTGCTACAATGGAGCGTGACTGGACCGACTTGCAGAGCACAATCTTTGGTCACTGCTATGGTTTGTCTAGATTTAAAGGTTACATGTATTTCATGCAAGAATACCTTTATCTGGGTCAACTCATTTATTCTGCTATCTATTTTATCACTTTCTACCCCTTTTACTCATTTCTGTCATTCCTTTGTGACTTTTTCATCCTCCTTGCCTAACATCCCTCAGCTTGATGAGCAATGACTTCTGAACCTCAACGATAGACTGTACTGTTAATAAAGATGACTTTCAAGACCGTGACATGTATCTATAGCTCTATATGTCGCTGTTGCTTTGTGAGAGATGCGACAAACAGAATTTAATTGTATTTTCGTCCTGTGACGAAGCTTCTTTTCTATTCTCATGCCAATAGTTCCCTAGATGCTCGATTCTTGAATCAGTTCTGACCTTTAGTGTTGGGAGAACATGACTTTTGTGCATCCAGACATGAAGCAGGAATCCTGCACCACCACAAGAATATTCAGTAGGACTTTTTCCATTGTTTGTGACCTACATCTGATGTCAGCATGCCCCCATCCCCTCTGTTTGTTCGTTGATGTTTTCTAAAAAATAACTTCTTGTTAAGTCATTGAAACAAGCAAAGGCAATGCATAAATTAAGGAAATGAAAGGAAGGATGGTACAGAGAATTATGAATGACATACTAGGAGAAGTGCTTTAATGGGCACTTCAGGCTGTCAGGATACTGTTGCAAAAAGCTGATGAATAACCGCTTCTGTCAGTGCATAGGCAATGATGTGAGACCATCAGGTGGTACTGACAGGAGTGCTGCTGACAACATCAGAGTTTTTAAGTGAAGCAGATTCCTCCATTTATGTCTTAAACACACCTGAGTGAGCAGGAAGCGCCTCGAGTTTCTGTCATGGCAGCTGTCAGTAACCTAGATAAAGTGAATTTAGCGTTTCTATGCACCAATCGTAAAGTGACAAAGAAAAATGAGATTATTAACAAGGGATTAATTTATAATCTTGAGTCAATTTGAGACATATAATACATGAAATAAAGGGCTTCATCAGGCTGTGAAAGCAAAAGTCCACTCACCTAATTATATTTAGAGTGATTCTTTTTCATTCATGCCTTTTGGGATTGGGCGGCATTTATATTTTAATACTGCTAAGCCGAGCTCAAATGATACCCAGGGCTTTAAGATATTACCATCAGCCTGGAAAGGCTTGTGGTTGTCTTATAACTGCATGCAGTTTAAGGGTTTTAGGAGTTTCTAATATAAGCTTAAACATTATCTCTGTAGTTTTTAGATGCAACAGAAAGATAATACTTTGATTCGAACAATAAACAAAATTGGCGCCAGTTTTGACATTTTTCTTTTCCTTCTATACCAACATATAAGCTTCCTCGGGTCCATGCAGAAGACAAACCTGATCCAAATGTGTGCATTTAGTGCACACAAAGTGGGTATTACTGTATTTGTGTCACTGGAATAGAATAAGCTTTGTAATAATAAATAGGTAAAGTCAGATATGAATTGTCAAAAAGACAATTGATTTTGGGGTTTTGCAACTCTAATGAATATATCATGTGAAATAATTAGTTTAGTCTCTAGAGCGAAAGTGATAAAGCTGTAGGAATGGCATCAGAAGAAGAGTTTAAAGGGTATTTTTAATACAAATTGTTTGCACATAGAGAAAATAATTTGTTATGGAATTGAAAAAAAACTGTATTCTAAATCCCTGGTATGCCTTACTACTGGATTAACATTTAACTCTTAAGTATAATATACGTCTTCTTCTATATCAATGCAAGGGCTCTGCAGCAAGGTGATGGAGATGTGTTTAAATTATAATCATCATTGGGAATTGTATTCGCGAGTGGGATGGCCTTTATCCATCAGGAGGCTGGGACATTGGTACAAGGCCATGCATGGATTACTTCCCAACTACATCTGTACCGTAATCTCACTGAGAAGTGTAACTTTTCACAGTCTGCAAATGATCAAATCCATTTGCTCTCACTGAACTGGGCAAAAGTGCTTTCAGTCACTCTGCTCCTTCTGCATGAAGCAGGCCGCAGGAAAACAGGAAATTAACCGAGTTTATGTCCTTGACTACATTTAAAACCAGACTGAGAACCCTTGAGACGGATTCCCTGTGTTGTAACTGCCTTCTGTAGTTTTTACGCATAACGTGTTTGTGTAGCTGAAACATTTGTAACTAACTGTTGCTGCCTCTTGGCCAGGTTTTTAATCTCAATGGGACCTTCCTGGTTAAAAAAGTTAAATAAAATGTAAAAGCCGTCAAAAATTGACAGAAACCACAAGCTTGTGATTGGTCAGGGGTGCTGTTTCGTTTTAATTCTTCATCAGCACCACCGTTGCCCACACTAAAAGGAGTTTCCAAGATTTCTAGGGGTAGACACGGAGCAGATTGAAAAACGTCTTACGGAAAAAGTCAGACAATATGAGCCTTTATGCACCCGTGACTAAAGGAGAACTAAAATTACACCAAACATTTTATTAGTGAATGGAAATAACGGTAAACGTGTGTTTAGAGATGGTGACCACATGAAGAGGTGGAGGAGAATGAAGGACAAATATGTTTGTGTTAGTTAAAAAGTCTCAGAAAAATTCCTCTCCTCTCCAAGTTTTGTGATTACAACGTTTATTTAATTAGTAAGCAAGTTCTCATAAACATAGCACGATAAAGCTACTTAGCTATGGTGGACTCACTGACCAAAAAGGTATTGTGATGACCCTTTCTATCAGAAATCATCTAAATTTGGTGAACAGTGTCCGTAACAATGACTGAGGATACTACTTGTAGTTTCTGTTATTCAGGTGATGTTTACGAGTAGAACAAGATAAGATTAAAGAGAAGTTGTGATAAACAAACCCACAGCAGATGGTACAGCTGCCAGTGTGCATTTCTCCATGATTAAAGGCAAACTAAGCAGGATATTTTATTTAAAATGCCTTTCTAGGCCCGTATAGTAGGAACTTCTGTTTGTTTTACAAAAACAAATTGATGCCAGAGACTTTAGTCAAAGCTAGCTAAATGAGAACAATTCTCACTGCATGGTGGGGATTTCTAACAAGTCTCGTCAGCTTTCACTGGACGTTTAAGGTCTGTTCATGAAAATGTAATTTATTCCGACAGCTTGGTGTGGGAAAACGCAGCGTGTTTCATTCCTGTGCATCAGGATGCTTCTCATCCAAGTAGCCGTCTGACCTCAGCAGAAACGGGCGTGTGCGTTCTGAATCCCACAGTTTCCTGTAGTAGGTTCCTTCTTTTGGACCACCTGTAGCGATGTGCCAATTAAAATCACCACCTACTTCCTGATCCTAATGGGTGACCTCACTCATACACTCACCCAAGCACATGATAACAGCTGGTGAGAAGTAAAGGTGATCAATGAATAGTTAATAAAGTCTACCTATCCATTATTGATAACCTCAGTTTAATTTCCAGGACCCAGCTGAGTTTTTGTGCATCCAAACACACACTACTCCTATTGTTTTTTTTTCTATCTTTATGATTTCTATTCTTTTAGAAGTTTAAAATTCCTCTTGTGTTTTAAAGTCTGTGCAGGTAAAGATGGCAAAACACACTGGAGTCTTATGATACTTTAAAAAATTCTGTTTAGTTAGTTGGGCCACAATATTTATTTGATTTGTTTTTATTCTAAAGAGGTGAAATAATTTTTAATGTTAGTTTCTATTCATTCTTCTGTAAAAAAAATTGGTTTTCTAAATTTTAATCTCAAAACTTAAATCATTGTTAAACGGCTCAACTCTGCCCCCTGCTGTCAGAAATTTGACGTCCGTAATCTCTTTCTAATGTGAGCTGTTTCCAATATCTCTGAGCAGTTGGGTTTAATAGTTGTAATTTCCATGTTGATCAAAAATATTTGCGATGATGTCTTTTTCTCATAATTGAGCGAACCACCTTAACATTAATCAGTCTGAATTTTGTTCCCCGACTCACTCGCTGCTTATCTGATTCCTGCAGATCACAACGCTGATCAACCATAAAGACAAGCCGAAGAAGTCTGAGCGCACCTTGGCGGCGATTCACCGGGTGGGTCAGGCGGTGAACGTGGCGGTGGGACGTTTTGTTGCCGTCGGGGAGGCCATCGCTTCAGAGAACCAGGAACTGAAGGATGAGATGGGTCAAGCATGCTTCGAGGCACGCAGAGCAGGTAGACGTCCTTTAACTTGACCCTGTTGGGGCTTGACATTTTGCAAAACTGTTGCATTTAAAGTGAGATCAGCTTCTTTTTATGTTATCTTTGCCGAAATGCACACCTGAGAGAATAGTTCATCCTAGCAGCATCCTTTCCGAGGGCGATGTGTTTTCTTGGTGCTGGCGCAGGGAAGGTTTTATGATATTATGAGTTCTTCTGCTGATCAGCTGTGGGCTCCTTGTCCGTGTTTGGCAAAGACAAACTGTGGCAGTTTCATAAAACATCAGGCATCACCTTCAGCCCTCACAGTGTGATCAAATTTTCACAAACTTCGATAAGTTCGTACAGCTGTGCTGTCAAACAGCATTACTCTGGAAGACCTGCAGGTCGCTCTAAAGACATTGGGGTTATTGGATTGGGAATAAAAGCTGAGGAAAAGAAAATCTACTGCAGCACCCAGTGTGGAGGAGGGTATTAACGTGCCTTCATAGGAAGATATAGCATTGATGGTTATTCGTTAGTTTTTGTCCTTTAGAGAAATATTTATCTGATTCTGGGTAGGATTAGATTTGGCTGTGAATTTAAATGACACAGCTATAAATATGTTTTCTGTTAGTCACACCTCCCTGTGGCTCTGTGAAAGACTAGAAAATAAAGGCAAGAGTTTGTAATGAAAGATTTACCGATGGATTTGAAACAACTTTTAAACAAACAGGCAAAATACATTTTAGGAATTATGTCCGACACATTTAAGGATGGAAAGGATTCAACGTATTAGTTTTTTGGGGACCGAAATGCAAAGTTCTTACCTTTCTCCTGCATTCAGACTCAAAAATAAAATAATAAAGAATTCCAGATAGCTGTGATGCTTCTGCATGTTTTAGGGTGGATCTTTGTTACGCTAATTTTGAGTAAACGACAGAACAGTTCTCCGAATCTGTCATGTGAATGCTGTTAGTCTGCATTAAAGTCAAATGACTACATCTGTGTAGCTTGGTTTATGCTTGACGCATTTACTTTCTGCGCGAGGATGCGGATGGAACAGGCTTCACAACTCGCAGCGTTTATGGTTCATGCGGCTCGTCTCTGCTGTGAGCCAATATTCTCCCAAACTGTAGGGGGCAGCATGGAGCTCTACGGCATGCATCCAACACTACACCATAGTAGAAGTAAAAATTACTGTTTACAACATGGCATTTCAGCATTTTTAACAGCGTCCTCGTCTTTTCCGACAGTGCGAGCTATTTCTCTCCAAGAATTATTAACAACATGTTGATCACGGTGATCTCTGAGAGCTGAATCATACAAATGTCTGTATTTACCAACCTCTGCCATACTAGTTCTTGCCGGTCCGCCATGTTTTTCCGCTTCCGTCCGTCCGCGTGGTTAGAAATTTTCCTAGGTGCGCGTTGCGGAAATTTTGGGCAGTGCGGACACGCGGTGGAGGGGCGTGGTTGTTAAAATGACGCAATTTCGCCACGCGGAGCCATGTGGACCTCGCGGACGCGTCAAGCATAAACCAACCTTAAAGCATTGACAGTAATGGACAAACCCTCCGCGCCATCAGTCGTAGGTTTCTGAAGAGCAGAACTGAAGCCCAGTGGGCAGCTCCCACCACCGCCATCTTGGAAAACTCACTGGAAAACATAAAAATGGAGTTGAATGTGGGGGCAGATTATTGGCATCCATTTAACTCTGAGCCGATGTTGCTATGAGCTATCTAAGCTAACCAAGCTAACCAAAGCTAATGGAAGTAAAATAGACAGCTTAGAAAAGCCAGGCAGATCTACGCCCCACTGTAAAATCTATCCCATCTTGGCTCGTGATGGGGAAGGATGTTGTTGGTTTAGCATCCAGGAAACGGCAGAGAACGTCTCATCTAGTAGCAGCTAACCATTAGCATTAGCAACTCCACAAAATGGCAGAACTCCTTCAGGCTTGCGTTATTTGTGGAAATAAAACATCAAAGTTTCAAAGCAAACAGAGTCACCATTAGCCAATCAGAAAAGAGTTGTCTTAATATGAGGAAGTAAGACTCCAAATCCTGCCATCTTCTGCTCACCTCTCCTCTGGCTCATGTCTAGTTCCTGAAACGGAAGCGCCAGAGCTTTTCCCACAGAAATTGACTAACAAGGCATTCTTTTTTACTAGAAACCACTGCAAACGATTCAAAAAACAAGTGAACTTGATCTTTAAACACAGAAACAAGACAATGACCCAAAACATGAAGATTAAGATAAATACTTTTATGAAAGGACTGAGTGAAGGACAACCCCCAAGTTAAAAAAAATGTTTTCTAGTTGGCTAATTTTTTTTGTCCAGCGCAAAACCTAAACTTAAGATCAGAGAAAGAATCCCATGACAATCGTAAAACGGTTTATACGCTTTTCTCGCCTGTGTAGATGTAAATCTTCTCAGCACAAAACCCAGATTTTTATTTGTTAAGGAGGAAAGAAAATGTCGAGCTGCATAGTACTTTGGACGCAACGTTACAACAATGGGTTTAGGTTGGATGGAGGGGCGTGTGTAGCAAAGCGTTTAATCCTTGCACGGTGCCGATCTGTAATGACGGCTAAAACTCCAACAAAGAGGCGGCAGGTGGGAGGAGAATAAACTGGTGTGTGTGTGTGTGTGTGTGTGTGTGTGTGTGTGTGTGTGTGTGTGTGTGTGTGTGTGTGTGTGTGTGTGTGTGTGTGTGTGTGTGTGTGTGTGTTGCCTAGTGGGACTAATTTATTCCAATTCATCACATTTTATTTCCTCTCAGGGAAGTGTTTTCACAGTTTTTCTTTGTGTTTTCCTAACAGGCTTTGAGCAGTTGTTCGCTGATTTACTTTTCTTTCTGACCTCTGACCCTTCATTAAAAATTGTATAAACATCCTGAGTGATAAAAATGAGTTTCTTGTTTATCGAAGCCGTCTTTAGGTCGTCATGGGAGACGAGCATCGGTTAGCAAAAGGTCTGATGTTTGTCTCACACCTAGCTAGTGGGAAGGTTTAATAAAACTTCAGCCTGCTACGCTGTAACGAATTAAATAAAACCCACTTGTTTAATTAGATGCTAGCCATCATCTGAGTGTTGGAGACATCTAATGAGGCAGGCAGTCTGTTGGATCTGAGTCTTAACTCATTCTCCCTGTCTCACTCGCTTGTTCGGCTTCAGAGAGATGAAAGGAGTGAAAGATGGCAGCTGGGATCAAGATGAACTCCTAGCATGTTCTGTTTTAAACCTGAAAACAGTGTGAAACAAAGCTTTAAGGTTTATGAGCACATGAAGTACTCACACTACAACAGAGCTGGCTGCTCGGTGAAGCTGGAAGGATAAATGGGCGTATTAAAGGCACATACTAGTACTAGTACATAGTACTGGAATACAGGCTATCAGTGCAGGTTTTTGTGACCTCATGAGGCTGTGTAGATGATCAAACATCCAGCCAAACCCAAAAAGACAATGGAGCTGCTTGACCCGACATCAGCCTATTTCCCCCTTCAGCCTTCAGAAGAGGTTTGGCTTTTTCTGCGAATGTTCTCCTTTAAGCTTGGTTTATGCTTGACGCATTCACTTTCCGCGCGGTGATGCGGCTCGCGGATGGAACGCGCTTCACAACTTGCAGCGTTTATGGTTCATGCGGCTCGTCTCTGCGGTGAGCCAATATTCTCCCAAACTGTAGGGGGCAGCATGGAGCTCTACAGCATGCATCCAACACCACACCATAGTAGAAGTAGAAATGACTGTTTACAATGTGGCATTTCAGCATTTTTAACAGCGTCCTCGTCTTTTCCGACAGTGCGAGCTATTTCTCTCCAAGAATTATTAACAACATGTTGATCACGGTGATCTCTGAGAGCTGAAGCATACAAAAGTCTGTATTTACGAACCTCTGCCATACTAGTTGTTGCCAGTCCGCCATGTTTTTCCGCGTCCGTCCGTCCGCGTGGTTAGAAATTTTCCGAGGTGCGCGTTGCGGAAATCTTGGGCTGTGCGGAGACGCGGTGGAGGGGCGTGGTTGTTAAAATGACGCAACTTTTCCGCGCGGAGCTGTGCGGACCTCGCGGACGCGTCAAGCATAAACCAACCTTAACCCTCTGGAGGCAGGCGTTGCAGATGTGCAACAGTTAAAACCCACCTACCTGGTTACTCCACATACGTATTCCATGAGCATTTTTCTCCTCAGAAATATACCCCTGAAGGACTTAGTTGTTCATCCTTTTATTAAAACTTATTTTGAGCCTGTGAGGGTTAATCTCCTTTCTCATTTTAGTTTGATAAAAGAAGTTCTTTGTTTTTACAAAATTTCTAACTTTTATGAGTAAAATAAGTTGCAGTTGATTGTTAACTAGTTTAATCGCTAAGTTTCACTATGGATTTTCCCACTGTGTGAAGGTGTTTAAGTTTTCTACCCCTAAACTGTCTCAGACAAAGGCTGCAGTGATGTCTGAGTCGACTTGCCATAGGTTGTGTCCCTCTGTGCTGAATATAGTTTTATTGGTCTCCATTCCAACCTTGAGTCTGAGAAAGACTCGGAGGTGTTGCCCTTTAGACTGGCTCGGTTTTAGCTGCACAAGGTCTTTTTTAGCCTCAAAATATGCAGTAATCATTTTACATGTCCAGTCGGGACTATTGTGTTGCTTCTTTCTCTCATTTTTGGCTTTCAGAGTTGCTAACATCAGGTTGGAAGTTGTCTATGATTCCCTTTGCTGTTTGAAAGGAGGTGCAATAATCTGCCTCGTCATGTCTTGTACCATGAATCCCATTCACACTTAAACTTAGCTGCTTCTGCACTTACAAAGGCTGTCACTTCTTCTAAATCAGTGTTCTTTCTGTTGAATGGGAGCATTCAGAATCAGAGAAATGCATCTATAAAAAGTTAGATTCTAGCATTTTGCTAAAGCACAATGTGACCTGGTAGTGATGTGATCAGGAACAGCAGCAGATCACAGCTAATATAAATAGAGGTGTAGTGTAGAGTTCATGGGAAATTCTGCTGACAGTTAAAAGATGAATGTTGCTGGTCCCTCCTGCTGTTCATATGGATAATGTTACTGTCTGCCTGCTTTTTACCACCTAGAGCAGGGGTGTCAAACTCAAACTCACACGGGGCCGAAATGAAACTCTGGGACGGAGTCGAGGGCCAAACTTAATATTTTTTGAAAAAGTGACGGCAAATTTGCACATTTTCTTTATCAACATATATGCAATTTTGAACCTTTAAATTTGGAAACAAACTTATTTCTGCATTAACACTGAATGTGGAATAACCAAATTACACACAAGCAAGTCAGTTTTAAATAAAAGGCATCAGTGGTATTCATTACTTATGGTATAATCAGCATTTTTAAAATCTTTTAAATCTTTTCTCACGGGCCAACAACAAGATAAAAATATCATTTTATCTTAAATGAAAATGCAACATCTCACCTGTTAACTTTCATGTTTTGGAGCAGAAAACGAGCATAAAACCAACATATTTAAAGCTCAGTTTGCTCCACTGGTTTACTGTGATGCTCACCTGTTCCAGCCAGATACCTGCATCATGGGGTTGATCTGAGCTGAGGAGGAGACTCCTGTTGTTTTGTTCATCTTCATCATAATAATGACAACATTAGATGACAACAGGTGCTCACATAGGTTTGTGCTGATGAACATGTCTGAGCAGCTTGACCACGTTGTTGTGTGTCAGGGAGGAAACACAACCACAGAGTCATGCTGGTTTGAGCGTGTCGCTGCTCGCTGGAGTTATATCAGCTCTGTCTGGATGTTAGTTGGAAAACTTTCTCTTTCAGTCGTGAACACATTACTGAGCAGCTAGAATCTCCGTTTCTGGGCTTCAACGTCAGAAAACAGCTGAGTGAACTCGGCGCTGAGTGAGAGGAGTGTAGTTTGTCCGAGACAGCGGAGCTGCAGAGACCAGCAGCAGGCGCTGAAAAAACACAAAGGAGGGGGCGCGTCGGCTCCGCGCTGACGCCGCAAAGCATCATGGGATTTGAAGTCTTTGCGGTAAAATCGGCCAGCGGGCCAGTTTTAATATATTTTTGATATTTATCTCGCGGGCCACATAAAAATGCTCCGCAGGCCGCATCTGGCCCGCGGGCCTTGTGTCTGACATATGTGCCCTAGGAGGTGCCCAAGGGCTTGATTTTTTTGACTCTGGCACCGCATCAGAAGGCGGTGGTCACTAACTTAGAGCTCAGATTTGATGCTCAAGTGAACGGAATCGTGAGATCTTGCTTTTTTCATCTACGCCGCAGAGCGAAAATTGAGCCTTTTCTGTCACATAGTCATTTGGAAACTGTGATCCATGCCTTTGTTACCTGCAGGCTGGATTATTGCAACTCGCTATATGCGGGGCTTAGGCAAGCTCCAATAGCACGCCTCTAGGCGGTTCACAACTCGGCTGCTCGGTTGTTAACATCTACCAGGAGGTCTGAACATATTACCAATCCTACTTGCCTTGCATTGGCTCCCTGTCTTTTATCACATCAGGTTTAAGGTCATCCTGTTTGTGTTTAAGGCGTTAAACTCAGGGGCACTTAAATATCTGTCTGAAATCATCCACCAACATGTCCCGGTGAGTTTCCTTAGGTCAGCTGACCAGAGACTACTAACTGTGCCCAGGTACAGCCTGAAGTCTCGTGGGAGTCGTGCCTTTTCAGTACTTGGACCAAGTCTCTGGAATGAGCTGCCAGCTGATGTAAAGCAGGCCAAATCATTGGAAACCTTTAAAACCAGACTAAAAACACATCTGTTCTCGCTGGCGTTTGGACATTGAAGTTGGGGGAAGTAGGCCGGATATGGATTGCGAACTTGCTCTCAGGATTTCGTATTGTATTTTAAATGGATTTCTTATTGTATTTCTAATGGATTTCTTATTGTATTTCTAATGGATTGCTCATTGTATTTTAAATGGTTATATGTCTGTCCTGTTGTGGTGCTTTTTATTGGTGTACAGCGCTTTGTTTGTCCATTTTGGCCAAGTGAATGCCCTTTATATATAAAGTTGATTTGATTTGATTTGATCATGTCCCCTTTTCAATAACCAAAGTAACCCACATTTACTAATTATCACAAACACTCGATTGCATTTATTGCCACCAAGAGGATTATAACCAGTTTGTCCGATATCCATGAAAAGCTTTTGAAAATCTGACCACATTACCGTTCCAGCTCCACTGCTGGACCTAACCACACATTTCTCTTATCCCTTGCAGGTGATGCCATAGCCCAGCTGACTGATGTGGGATCAGCCATGCAGTCCCAGTCAGACAGTCAAGTTTCGGTGTTCAGTGATAGAACGGGGATGGTAAAGGCTGCCCGCCTTCTCCTCTCCTCAGTCACTAAAGTCCTTGTCCTTGCCGATCGCATTGTCATCAAACAGATAATCACATCACGCAACAAGGTAAGGCACTCAGAAATCAGAAACCCTACTTTGAAGCGTATACGCTCTGCCACACAGACACTAGCCAACTCCCTTACTTCCTAGCAGATAAGCCCTCTGAAAGAGAACTCTGGATGTAATTGAAGGGGAGCAGCCACATAAAAACACCTTCTGAGACGGGCTCTCCCACCCTCTCTTGTTGGTTCTTAGCGATGCTGTCAGCCAGACAGCGTGATGCGGGTGTATCTGTAGACTGAGACAAGAATGGAAACAGGAGGGCTTAATCATGACTGGTTAGCTTTGTTTGGGCAGACACTCAACAGCCCCCTGTTCTCCATTACTGGCAAACACAATTAGATCTCTTTGTACGACACAGATAAAAGCTGCTTCATTGGTGCTGCCAGCTAGCATCTCTTCAACAGCTACGTTAGCGTCTCATGTGGACAGTTATTAGATTAAATTACAGCTGTTCTGTCTGATCTGAGTACGTTATGTCACATTTCACTATGGTAATAATTTTGTATCTAATACAGTCATTAATAAAAGTATGTTGTGGAATACTGGCCTGGTAGCTTTTAATGTTGGTAATTTTTGAACGTAGCTCAGCATCCGTGATGGATGAAATGGTTTGTACTGCTCCGTTAAAGAGTTAAACATCTACAGTGGTCTGAAAGAACTTGAAACTGATGTAAATAACACTAATTTGAAAAGTGACTGAACGTACACTTAAAAATTACACGTAGTATTTGAATTGTGGTTCAAGTCGATCCTTATTACAAAGCTAATGAAACCTGGACTAAATAATGGTACCCCTAGAAACGATTAATACGAGAGTGAGCACATGTATGGTATGCTCTAAAATTAGCATCACATTAGCATGTCTTCAAGTGTATGATAACTGTTTAAAGGGTGAAAGTAGTCTCAGTGCTGTTTGGTAACAGGGTGTGTACCACACTGAACATGGACCAGAGAAAAATAAGGACAGAGTTGTCTCTGGAGATTAGAGAGATGCTTCTTGACCAGAATGTTAAAGGTAAAGGCTAGACGTCCACCTCCGAGCAGCTTGAGCCTGTCTACATTTCACATTAATCAGAGGTTTAAGTTAATTGGGTCTTCCAACACATTTGCAGTGGTCTCTAGTATAAATTAATTACTTGTGAGTCGATTTCTGTTGGACCAACGCCCTGGTGCTCTTGTTTCGGGAAGTACAAGTTAGCCAGACAGGGGTGTGTCCAGGGGGTGGTCTGGGGTAGCACATGCCACCCTTGGAATCTGATTGGCCACCTTACAGAATTCCCATTAAATAGACTTGTCCACAAAAAGCTTGGGGTAAAAAATAAAGCATAACCATTGGTGCCACCAATGCATAAAGAAGTGCACCACCCCATTTTAAAAGATCTGGGCACGTCACTGTAGCCGGAGTAGAACATGGCAGGTTTGGCAATCTTATTTCATGACATCTCACCTCTCATTGGCTAACAGTGGCTCTGTTTTCTCTGTAATATTGATGATTTATCTCCACAAATAACACAAGCCTGTGTTTGGCTGTGTGGTGAAGTTGCTAATGCTAATAGTTAGCTTCTGCTAGCTGAAACGTTCTCGGCTCTCTCCTGGATGCTAAATCAGCAGCAACTTTCACCGTCATGAGCCAAGATGGGTGAGTCCACGAATTCTGATTTTCATGGGACATAGATCTGACTGGCTTTTCTTATCAGAAGCTAATGCAGGAAATAGGGGTAGAAGTTGTTCAGCCTGAATGTTAAAATCAGAGTAACCAATCGTATTTTAAATAATAACAAGTAAAAAGTGGTTTCTCAGTGAACTTGGTCTTTAAGGTTTAAGGGATTGTAGCCTACCTCACTTGTTGTGAACACAAGAAAACATAGATGACATGTTATAGAGATGATTCATATGAATGGTAACCAAGGAGCTCGGTACAACTTCCAAAGAGATTAGAGCTTAGCTCCAGACTAAAATAGCTCTGTAGCTCATGTGGGACACGGCTTGGTTCTGTTCTAGGTCAGATTGGCTACATTGAAAAGATAAAGAGTGTTTGGAGTCGGGTTGGGTCCAATAAGGTCATAACAGGTTTTCTAGAGTGAAATGTGTTCCCACTGTCAGAAAGCTTGGTTTCAGCCACGAATCAAGAGCCCTCCAACAGGATAGTGAGCCAAACAGAGCTGAAGCATGCAGGCTGGGGAAGGAGCCCATTAAATCTGAGACGACTGGAGAGGCTTCTTCAAGACGACAGGTGGAAAAATTACGGGCACCATTGTTTTGTCCAGGCCAGCCTCATTTATTTGTCAATTTTTTTTATCGCACCACAATTCAAAAGCAATGTCTGATATTCATTTTGTGGCACTAACACATTTATCCATGTTTGAATTGGACTAGTCCACTTATTTGATTTTGCTTTAATTTGTGATTTCTACTAACTAAAACAAGTATTTTTAAAGCATTTCTGTGTTCTGATACTCTCCCTCGTGGCAGGTTCTCGTAACGCTCGACAAACTGGAAAGAGTCAGCACGTTCCAGGAGTTTGTACAGATTTTCAGCCAGTTTGGCAACGAGATGGTGGAATTCGCTCACCTCACAGGAGACAGACAGAACGTGAGTAGGGTTTGATAAAACCTTCCTGATTTAGATTTTTTTTAAACATTGCAATCATCCAATCACTTTGAAAAAAAAATCTCTCGTCCAATGAAATACTGTAAAATCCTGCAGCAATCTGGCAAACAGTGATTTTCATGAGCAGGTGGTGAAACCTGCAGAGAGTACATGAAGTGCAGCAAACTCAGAACAAATCAATAATCCAAACAGTAAACTATATAGAACAGTTAAGTACCATGTTTTATTATTTGTTTCTGCAAAGTTTCCTTCAGTCACCTCCTGCAGTTGAAGCGCTCCGCCTGCACACGCTGATGTGAAGTGCAGCGGCTGCGATATCTCAACAGGGAGGGAGAGGCAGCCATTCCTCTCTCGTTTTGAAACACACATCACGTCTCTCCCCATCGCTCCTCGTTGCTGCTCTGTTTTCTTTTTTTGGGCGGTCGTATTCACTCCCACTCGTGCACTTCCGTGCACATGCATGCATAAGCGTGCATCCTTTTCGAGGAGGCACCATCTCCATCTATTGAAGCCAGACGAGCGCAGGGGCGCAAAAATAATGACAGATAATCACATAATCTTTGTGATCTGTGGCAACGTGCCTAGAGAGGAGTTGATTCAGCTGCCTTTTTCAAATCCTGAGTCTACATAATTCAGATGCTCTATTTCTATGTGGAATACATGCAGGGCGACAAACAGAACGTCTTGTTTTACATTCTGCTGGCGTGTCTCTCTGTCGCTCTTGACGCTTTTTACTAGAGACTCCGAAGTTTCTTGTTTGTGAACTTGCAAACAAATGTGTTTTTTCTGTGTCACTCAGCTGCCCTGCAAGTTTACTGTTGTAACTTATATAGATAGTTAGGATCTTTTGAAGTGAGTTTCTGTGGGATTATTCTGTACAGTCTTACCAGTTCCTTTAATAACTTTAGCTATCAGAAATAGAGATCGCTGTAACTAAATATTCTTAAAATGCTAAAGATGTTCCAGATATTTTACCTCTGTGTTTGGTTTACTGTGAAGCAAACTAGGAACTTATCACATAGTACCACAAAAGTATTACATACAGATATTGTACATTCTGTTGGTAGAAACAGACAGGGTGCGATTTGCTTTTGATGTCCGTCCCTCTGATGATTACACTTCTGTCCTTGGAGGCGATACGTTTTATTTTCTTTCTTTCTGTGGGAGGATCTTTTATGACGTCCAGTGCTTTAGTACTGGGACTTTTTTCAGGGTATGATGACTACTGGTAGTTTTACCGGTCATTTATTAGTTGAAAATGCAGCGATTTCTAACCCCCCCCCCCCCAAAAAAAAAAGTAAATACCAGCCATCCACAGCTCTCCAGCGCTGTCCCGCCCCTCCCAAGCAGGCTCGTTTGGTGCATTAGGAAGCTGTAGCCGTGCAGCTACGTCGGGGTCACACACACAAACACTCCACACCAGCAAACTGTCTCCAAACTATTTATTCAGCCCCTCAGACGCTCCTTGATCCATAGGTCCAACTGCATTCGTGTGGAAAAAGACGCCACCCCTGCGTCTGCTACCTTGTATATGTTGGAGGAAGATGACGTCTGATTATGGACGCGCTTCACCTGCTGCTGCGCTCCCGCTGCCACGTCTGCGCTCTGCTGCCCGGTAGACACAGTCCTCCCGGCGCAGAGTCACAGGCGCATTCTCTCTGCGCAAAAGGCACCCATCACTGCGTTTTCTGTCATCACCAGAGCTCTTACAGGCTTTAATCACTTTAATTTTCTCTTCAAAAAGTTTGCCTCTGAACCTCCTCCTGTCTTTGGATGGTAACGTGTTTATATATCTGGGATTTTGTGCGTGAACCTTCTTAGAAGTGTAGCCTACTCGCATGTTGATAGCAGGCCATATTGCTTCTGTTTTTTCCACTCGTGCATGCGCACAATGATGGAAAAAGATGTCAACATAACTCCCTTTTTATGTTATTTTTCTATGTGAGTTTCATACGACGACACCTTTGTCCAAAATACCTGCAATCAGCGTACAAACGCGAGTTGTAATTTTCATAAATAAAAAGTGAAGAAATTATTACCCCTCTGCTTTTTTCACTCATCGCTCACTGGAAATAGAACTAAATAATAGAACCATTTCCACTATCAGAACTTCCAGGTAGTCTTTACCGAACCTTCACGGCATGAACGCGTCTCCATTTCACAAGGCCGGCCCTAAAGGGCCACTTTATGGGAGATTTCATGAACCAAACAAGTACCCGCATTGGGGTATGCACTCAGGAATGGCCCAGTAGAGTTGCTTGGCAAGACTTGTGTTTAACTCAGTTGGAACCGGCATTTGTAAAGTTTGAGTTGCTGGTGAAGCCGAATGCAAGTAAAAGAAAATAAGTTGGGATGACTCTGGGTTAAAATCCCATTTGCACCAGAAGCCCCCCACACACACACACACACACACACACACAACGCCGTTAGTCACGGCACTTTTCGGACTCCCACAGACTTACCACGTTTCTTCTAGTCATTCAAAATGGAGTGAAAGCACCATAACGGATTAAATTGTGGCGTACTTTGACAGTATAAAATGTCTTTAGCACAATTAATGTCTGTGGACATCTTTTGGAGCTGATCGGTGATGTCACTCTGCCAAAACTATCGCTGAGTCACCAAAGTCCCAAAAGGGCCGATTCAGTATGAAGATGCAACTGCTGAGACAACCGGGTCAGCGTACGCTTCCTGTCACCTCTCCATACATCTCCTGGAACACCTATCCATCGCTAGCTGAGCGTGCTAAAGAGCCGCAGCTCATTTCATGTAAGAGCTCTTAAACTTTTTGATGCTTCAATGGCAAAGTGGTTCACCTATTACCACTGATGAACACTGGGAGCGTGAGCAGAGTGTTCTGGCAGCTGCGTGTCTGCGTAGCTAAAAGAACCAATTATTTGGTTTGGTCACGCCGCATTTCAGATGCTTTCCAGAAACTTGTCGCCGCACCATTAAAAGGATAGAGTTCTGGATTTATTTACACGCACCACACCTTCAGAATGCGTTAAACTCTGCTGTTAACATAAGGCCAAGCAGGGAATCATTCTCTGTAAAATGTAAAGCTTCTGGTGAATTTCAAAATAAAAGACAAATGCAGATTTACAATTGCTTAAGTATGTAAACATTGCATTTTTAGACCATGCACTGACCAAAGGTATCATTTGCTCCCTTCAACGTTCCAGGAGAGCATCAATGTTTTTCAGCATGAAGAACAACTTATTTTTGTAGTAGAAACTTGCAACGTTATATGTCACCACACTTCCTTTTTGTGCAAATAGTATTACAAAGGAGAAAGCATAGACCAAAATATCAACAACTATTGGAGTGGATGGTAGCTTAAAGTACTTCTGACTCGCTCGCGGTGGGGATCGACTTTCTTGTAACGCCCGGAACACACCAGCTGCAAAGCGGATCGCTCACGAAATCCGTGCGCTGTCCGCTCCTCCTCTGTTCACATCAGGCGAGAATTTTCAACGAAGGCTTCTGCTCACGCCTACTGTTTTCCAAACCCCCATGCCCTTGCTGTGTGTGTGTGTGTGTGTGTGTGTGTGTGTGTGTGTGTGTGTGTGTGTGTGTGTGTGTGAGTGTGTGTGTGAGTGTGAGAGTGTGTGTGTTTGTTCATTTTTATCTCTAGTCTGTTTAGATACACAAAAATGATCACGTTTATCAATGGCGGTGTTTTATTTTGAAAATGTCCTTTTATTGTGCTAAATTTGCCGGCCTCTTCTGCTTTTGTTTGACTTCCTGCCAGAATTGGCGCGGCTCACTCACAACTCACGAAAGAATCGGAGCCCATGCCGAAACGATCGCTGCACGGCGCGAGCTTTCATGGCGCTTTGCAGCTGATGCGACCGAGAGCGTAGGTTAAGGGCGCCAATTAGAAGCACTCGTCGTTCCACGGCACTTCGTGGTGCATCGTCGCGCTTCCATGTCTGGTGTGTTCCGTGCGTAACGCTCTGTAATGCACCACTCACTCACCCAGTGTAAATGGAGGGTTAGGCTAAACATTAAAGATGCTCGTCTCTCATAATTTATCTTCAACAGGTTTCAGCTGAATTACTGCTTTAAAGACTAAGTTCACTGAGAACCCATTTTTATTACTTGTTGTGTTTGAAATATGATTGGTTCAACATGCTGGCTGAACATGAAAATAGTTTCCTGCATTAGCCGCTGATAGAAGATAGACGTAAAAAATGCTCAGACAAGAAAATCAGGACAGATCTACGTCACACTGTCACTAACATTCATGGACTCACCCATCTTGACTCGCGACGGGGAAGGCTGTTGTTGGTTTAGAGCCCAGGAAACGGTAGAGAACGTCTCGGCTAGTAGAAGCTGATCGTTAGCATTAGCAACTCCACCATTCAGCAGAACACCTTCAGACTTGTGTTCTATACGGAGATAAAACATCAAAGTTTAAGATCAAACCGAGTCAGCGGTAGAGTCGTTTCTGTTAGCCAATCACGAGAGATATCCTAATAACAGGAAATAAAACTCTAAAACCTGCCGCGTTCTGCTCTCCTCCGGCTAACTTTACCTCCGTACACAGGAGCACCAGAGCTAATGTTCCCCGCAGAGATTGACTCACAAATCAATGAATTCCTTATTCATTTATACCAGAGGTCACAGCAGATTAATAGAAAAAAAGGAGTGAACTTGTTCTTTAAGTAATATTGTTTGTTGTATTTTGCTGTGCTGCAGGACCTGAAAGATGAAAAGAAAAAAGCCAGAATGGCAGCAGCCAGAGCAGTGCTGGAGAAATGCACCATGATGCTCCTCACAGCCTCCAAGGTAAAAAAAACAAGACATTATTGATCACAATTCACTAAACATTTTAGGACGATCTCTAGATTTTTTTTACTTCAAGGTCTCCAGCACGATCTGATTCATGTAAAAGTCGAGTTGGGGCGAGGTCACAAGCATTGACCCTTCACTTCTTCTCCAGACTTGCCTGAGGCACCCAGATTGCGAGTCGGCGAGGATCAACAAAGACGCCGTGTTCCACCGAATGCGCTGTGCCCTGGAGCAGGTCATCGAGATAGTTACCGAGGCGCGGGGCTGTGGGGAGAGCAAGGTCCTTCCTACCAGCATCTACAACAGCATCAAAGACTTCAAGGTAGCCTCAGAAAATAACACGCTCAGGAGCGTTACCGGTGCTCCTCTGACTTCTGCCAGCAAACAAAACATTTGAACTTGTTGAGCAGAGGAGAAGTACTTCAGAATCCACACACTTATGTCGAGATCTCTCAGCAGTGCAAACTGTGGTTGCAGACTTACCCGTTTCTGCATTCAAAATGTTGATTGAAGCTTCAAACGTGACTAATCGACTCTTCATCTTGTTCGCCGACAGATGAAAGAATCAAACCCTTGTTAAAGAAAAAATAACATTTTGAGGGCTTCTTCTTTGAAAAAGAAAGGAAGAAGGGTTTTAATGGAGATGGTGGTGGTTTGCTTTCAGTAAGATTATAATGGTAGAGATGGATAAAAACTGGCCATCGTATTTTTCTTAAAACTGATCTTGGTTTAAAAAGAGAGACAGACGGGATGAGAAACTCATTAGCCTTTAAGTTCTAGAGCTTGGTTTTATTTTACATCTTTAGTGGATTAAAGTGTGAACCCAAGTCTCAATATTTCATTTTCTTGTGTGCTTTTTAAAAAAACAGTCACTGCATCAATCTTTTTCTCCCTAACACACCCCCCCCCCCCCCCTAGTCATGTGTGGAGTGCCTGCGGGAGAACCTGTACTCTCTGACGCCACAGGACATGGCCAGTCAGCTGGAGTCCCTGGTGGAGAGGACAGAGGACTTCACTGATTCTGCCTACACCAGTCACGAGCAGCGTCAGGCCATCCTCGGTCTGTGCCAGCTGCTGCGCCAGGACACCCAGCAGCTGGTACACGCCTGGGCTGAGGCGGTACGTTGGCACGGGCTGGAGGTCAGCCTCGTGCATATGCATTCATTCCTGCAGGGGTGTTTATCTACAGCAGGACACAAAATTAGGAACAAAATCTTTTCACTTAGAGTTCCTGTCAGTCTTAACAATGATGTCTGTTTGTTTTTAAAGGAGTGATCGCCTGAAATGTTCACTTTTCCACTTTTATATACACGTTTCCAAGTGTATATAATGGCTTCCTAATGATTTTTCACTGGCCTGAATGTCGATCTTTAACATTGGATCGTTTTTTTTTTTTTTTTACTTTTTGCCTCCTCAACCAGCCCACGTGCACCCTACGAGCATGCGCACTCCAAAACAAGATCCTTACTGTCGTCACGAAGGCAGGATGTACAGTACCATATATGGACAGCTTTGCTGCTAAATCAAATCAGAGTAGAGCCCTTCTAGCCAAGTAAAGGCGAGAAAGACGGGATCTTCCCTGAACATCATACGATTCCAAATGATGCGTCCGGCACAGCCGAAAAATCTCGCGTGCTCTCGCGAGAAAACGTCCTTTACCAAAAAAGGGTCAGAAAAGCACTTTTATTTATTTTTCTAAAACTTATTATTTTTATGGCCTAAAAATGACCTTAATATGATGTAGATATCCACGGTAGTAACAGGTGATGACTCCTTTAGTTCATGAACCATTGGATAGGTTTCCTCGGAACACTAATTACTGCATGTCTAAATTCGGGCTGAACCATTTTAGGAAAAGACAGAAATTGTGATTTAAATTCTATCACAACATGCCCTGTAGGTTAAAAAAATTGTAAGTTGCTTTGGGTAAAAACGTCTGCTAAGCACATAAACATAAACATATCCACAATTTTCTCCTGAACAAGCTGCAGCACAATATTCACAGTGTACAGTATTATTTATAAACACGATGGGAAATGGCGTCATGCTATCAAAGCAGCAAAAGCTATTGCTCTAAAGATGTAAGGAGGGAAACTAAAGGTAAGCATAGATTTTACATGTATTTGTTAACAAAATCAGACATGCAGAGTTAACCCAGCATGCTTCCTAGTACCGTAACTCTGACGGTTTGTGCCAGCAGAAAAATACAAACAGGGTTTTAAAAGAAGAGAAGTTGCACTTTCAAGTCTATTTCGTGTTATTACGGTAAATATCGTTCTGCTGTTGCAGGAAGTCGGAGAATCATCCTCTCCGTCGCAAACTCATGAAGTAATGCACAGAAAATGAGAGACAGAAGACTGCAGACAGTGATAATATCGGCTGTGGTGTTGCCATAAAAAGATAAACACGGAAAATTGACCAAATTCAGCAGCTCAGGAATTGGGCTTGGCCCCCGTTACCCGCCTTACCCCGCTCGCTGCTGCCGTCACACTTTCTAGGAGAAGCAAAGTCCTGGATATGTCTAAAATAGTTGACACATCAGGTCCTGAGTCTGTCAGGGGTATTACAAAATAAATGCTCTTTAACGTTCACGTTGTTGGAAATCGTAATTTGGATCAGGAAACGATCGACCGCTCAGCCCTAGGCTACCACTCATTCACTTTTGGTGTTAGTCAGATTCAGTACCGTCAGCACAGGTAAAACTTATTAGTTCTTTCAACTGGAAACCAAAGATCAACAAATGAAAAAGTGATTGTTTCATTGATTGTTTTTGAGTCAGATACAAAAAAAGGTCTTATCTTTAACTAAATCAGAATGGGTCACAGGCCTGAATTTGATTTTATAACCCTTTATTTTCTAATGTGTTACATTTTCCTGTCCTCGTATTTAATGAGACTTGTTTCCTTCAAGACCGTAACCACAGCAGAGTTGATGTGCATCCACTAACTGCACAATGTGTCTTTGTCTTTGCGCTCTGACATTGTGTATAGCCAACATGATGAGTAAACAAGAAGAACAACAAACAGCTTGCACACCTCAGGGCTCTTCTCTACCCTCATTTATGACCCCATTAACATAATATGTTGTAAGGTGCTTGGTAATGATTATGTGACTTGTTCAGTTAGCACCCAAAATATGACATATTTATGGAAATAATTATTGGTAAATTAGAGTTCAGCAGGTAAATAATTGCCTGTGTGCATGCATAGATACAGACGAGAGTTTTTCCTTGAGTCACGGCATTTCTGTCATCTTTTAAAAAATAAATTGTATTGGTGAAAATGTATTTTCTAATATAATTAAATTGGTTTTGTTTGTTTAATTGAGACAAAATTCTGCAAGCTTAATCAGCAAATGCATGGCCTCCTGCACACACTCTTCATTAACCTCTTCAGTCCTCTGCTCTCCTGGAACAACGGAGCGTAAAAATTAGGGACAGACAATATATCGGCATCAATACTGACCGACGTTAGTAATCTTTTAATATATCGGTATCGGTCCAATTTTTTTAAAACAAGCCGATATTTTTTCCATCTTTGTTTTCCTGTTTCAGAGGGTGAGAGGGGTGATGTGAATTTGTTCTGTCATGTCACGGTGATTGTAGTCATCTCAGAAGCGTAAATGTGTGTGGTGTGTTTACTTAATAACGTAAATTAAGCTTTTATCATTTTTATTCTGTACAAAATCTGCTGACTTTAGAAGCATTAATGTCAGTATATTGATATCGGCAAATATTGGTTATCGGCCATAACAGTGATCTTAATATCGATATCGGTATCGGCCCAAAAATTTCATATCGGTGCGTCACTAGTAAAATCCCACCTGAACAGATTTTATACTAAAGCTCAGTCAGACGGTCTTCTCTGGCATTCAGCATCCTTGGCTCTAAAGCAGAAATCTGGAGTTTTTTCTCCTCTAGAGGCAGAAAAATGTGCATAACCATAAGCCCCTCTCCCTACTTCCAACGATTACAGATGGTATCAACACCTCTGGCTCATGAAAAAACATCCATGAATTCACATGGCAGAATTTTTAAAGAATTTATTTGTAAATCAGGGTGGAAAATAAGTATTTGGTCAATAACAAAAATTCAACTCAATACTTTGTAACATAACCTTTGTTGGCAATAACAGAGGTCAAACAATTACTATAGTTCTTTACCAGGTTTGCACAGACACTAGCTGGTATTTTGGCCCATTCCTCCATGCAGATCTTCTCGAGAGCAGTGATGTTTTGGGGCTGTCGCCGAGCAACACGGACTTTCAACTCCCTCCACAGATTTTCTATGGGGTTGAGGTCTGGAGACTGGCTAGGCCACTCCAGGACTTTAAAATGCTTCTTACGGAGCCACTCCTTTGTTGCCCGGGCGGTGTGTTTGGGATCATTGTCGTGTTGGAAGACCCAGCCACGTTTCATCTTCAAAGCGCTCACTGATGGAAGGAGGTTTTGGCTCAGAATCTCACGATACATGGCCCCATTCATTCTGTCCTTAACACGGATCAGTCGTCCTGTCCCCTTAGCAGAAAAACAGCCCCTAAGCATGATGTTCCCACCCCCATGCTTCACAGTAGGTATGGTGTTCTTGGGATGCAACTCCGTATTCTTCTTCCTCCAAACACGACGAGTTGAGTTTATACAAAAAAGTTCTACTTTGGTTTCATCTCACCACATGATATTCTCTCAATCCTCTGCTGTATCATCCATGTGCTCTCTGGCAAACTTCAGACGGGCCTGGACATGCACTGGCTTCAGCAGCGGAACACGTCTGGCACTGCAGGGTTTGATTCCCTGCCGTTGTAGTGTGTTACTGATGGTGACCTTTGTTACTGTGGTCCCAGCTCTCTGCAGGTCATTCACCAGGTCCCCCCGTGTGGTTCTGGGATTCTTGCTCACCATTCTCATGATCATTTTGACCCCATGGGATGAGATCTTGCGTGGAGCCCCAGATCGAGGGAGATTATCAGTGGTCTTGTATGTCTTCCATTTTCTGATAATTGCTCCCACAGTTGATTTTTTCACACCAAGCTGCTTGCCTATTGTAGATTCACTCTTCCCAGTCTGGTGCAGGTCTTTAATTATTTTCCTGGTGTCCTTCGAAAGCTCTTTGGTCTTGGCCATAGTGGAGTTTGGAGTCTGACTGTTTGAGGCTGTGGACAGGTGTCTTTTATACAGATAATGAGTTCAAACAGGTGCCATTAATACAGGTAACGGGTGGAGGACAGAAAAGCTTCTTAAAGAAGACGTTACAGGTCTGTGAGAGCCAGAGATTTTCCTTGTTTGAAGTGACCAAATACTTATTTTCCACCCTGATTTACAAATAAATTCTTTAAAAATCCTGCCATGTGAATTCATGGATTTTTTCACATTCTGTCTCTCACAGTTGAAGTGTACCTATGTCATACCTATGTTACTGACCTCTGTCATCATTTTAAGTGGGAGAACTTGCACAATCGGTGGCTGACTAAATACTTTTTTGCTCCACTGTAAGAACATGTATATTTTTAAAGAATTAATTGTCCATGAGAAAAGTCGCCAACGCTGCATCAGTTTTCCGTATTTGACCCGTGTGTATGTGATGTGATTGATGTCTGCAAGTAAGTGGATGTCTAACACTATTGGTTAATATTTTCATTTCAAATTGCATGGGGTTCTATGGGATAGGGGCGGGCCTAGCAGCAAAACAAATTGCCTACATCATGTCATAGACTATCACTTTAGCAGATTTCTAAATGATCACACATAATTGCTGAAAGGGAGAAAACTCTGGATTGGTGCTTTGAACGGTAAGAGACTTTCAGAGCACCAGCCTTTATGCTGCAGCTTCCCTGAGATGTAAACTTCTCCCACAACGTTTAGAGAGCTCGCAGCTGCATAATTGTACAGTAGCGCCTCGTCTAATCCGTGCATTTGAAGGTCGTGCGGAGACTTGAAAAGACCCCGAGTGCTGCAGTGTTTAGAAAGTGGAGAGACAGAATTAGTGGTTAATCTTTCCGCCCAGGTATATCGGAGCGTTTGCATCAGCAGCTTGAGGAGAATGAAGACTTCTGCAATTTTCTTTCAGCAGTCTGAAATTTGGAAAACTGTTGTGGCTTTTATTAAATATATAATTGAATTTAATCACATTTCTTTGATTGCACAAAATGACATACTGAGATGCTTTATTCTCCTCGCACAAACGGATGAAAATGGCTCACAAATGTCAGTGTGCTGCTCCGGCACTCGCGTAGCCTGTCATTCCCATCTTTCCCCTTGAATTGCTTCCGTCTGTTAGATTAGCGGGCAGGTTCGTCTGTCTGCATTTAAAACCTCTTTGCTCCACGTGTTTATTCTCCCTTTTGTCTCGATCCGGAGCAGCAGTCTGGCCATGCCAAAGAGGCCACAGAGGAAATGGAGGTGGCTGTCCTGAAGACGTGCCAGAGCATCAGTGACCTGCGACGCAAGGTGAGCAGTAGTCTGCCTCAGAGTCGGAGACTCTACAGACCAGAACGTGTCTCATGAGCCTCTGCAGAGTGCTTCCATCTTCAATTATTTACATCGCTTCAGCTGTCAAGCTCACTTTGTCTCCTCTGGTCATCTTTCTGCCTCAAATTCATTAATTTCTCCTTCTTTTAATCATTAACCCACCCCCCTCACCCCCCGTCCAGCTCCATAAGGTGGCAGTGGGCCGCGCATCAGACTTGCTGAAAGTTCACGGGGAGCATCTGCCTCTGAGAGCTCTCAAAGCGGCGGGGGCTGAAGGGAACCTGGAGGCAGTGGCGGAGTCTTCGCGCACGCTCACGGAGCAGAAGGACCAGCTGGTGGAGGTGGGAGAGTTGGGGGTGGAGGGCGGGGGGGGCAGCGACATTAAGAAGCAAGGCTGATAGAAAGTTTGTTAGTTTGAAAGAAAATTTTTTATCATTTTTCTTTGCATCATTTTTAACCAGTTTAATGATGAAAGAGACTGTCAGATTCTGCTGGTTCCGGGCCTGGAGGCTCCCCCCCCCCCAGAGGGCGGAATGAGGGATGGGCGGAGTCACCCGCAATGGTCGTGACTTTGGTCGGGCAGGTTTGATAGATGTCCTGGAAGGAGGGAAATGGGGCACTGCTGATCTTCACAGATGCTCTCACTATTCGCTGTATTCAGAGAATTCTGACGATGCGGTGCAGCTGCCGTACCACACAGTGATGCAGCTGGTCGGGATGCCCGCGGTAGAGAGTGGTCCTGGTGTAGATCTGTGCTGTGGCTCTTCTGAGTCTGTGGAGAAAGTGGAGACCCTGCTGAGCTTTTCTGGCCAGTGATGCAGTGCTGCTTGTCTAAGAAAAGTCTTAAAAGAATTGGAATGCGCAGATGAACTTAGCAGGGCTGCATTCCATTTAGAATTGTTGCTGCTTTTTTGTAGTTTTACCAAACAGTCATCTGCAGAAGTGGAATGCAACCCTCATGGGTAGTGTTCTAGAGTCAAATGTGAGTGTCTGTCTGACTGCTGATTGGCCCAGTCTGGATCACCTAACAGAATAAACACAGCAGAAAATCGACAGTAATATGGCTGATGCAAAAAGGTCTTATCAAGAAAGAAAACGCAAAGAAATTGTTTTATCTGTTTCCAGACATGTCGACTGTTGTGCCACATATCGGGGACGGAGCCATTAGAGATCACCTGCATTCACGCCGAGGAGACCTTCCTCGTCATCGGTCCACAGGTAGCATAAACACCGTTAACCAGTTAATATCTGAGTAGGATGGGAACGAGGTGATCCATTTCCTGTTTTCTCTCTGCACCTCCTACACCTGCCATCCGTTCTGAGGACATCTCGTCCTTCGTCTCACATCTAATTAGATTTGCTCTCACAAAACCATCTGTGACAGTAATTATCCTGCGATGTAGAATGTCTCCGTCACACGGTGCTAGTGTCAGGCCCCGCATGACTCTACAGTAATGACTGTGCTCCTAAGTTCAAAGGTCAGCCAATCGATAGGCGCTGCGAAACATGATGATATCGCCCCGTGTTTGTTAGGGGTAATGCAGGAGTGGCCCACAGGGTAATTGGCAATTAGATACAAGACTGTAGAGGATATACGTGTGGGATGTGTGCAAGAGCACCACGGTTACTGCAGAGTTATGACTCAGATGTATTGTGGGCTTAAATCTGTGCACATATGACTTTGCGTGTCCCAAAATTATTGCAGTTCCATTAAGAACCAAGTGAAAATTTGTTGTTATTATGATAAAAGATGCAATTATGGCTCCCTTTGTCCCAGATCATCTCTGCTGCCCAGACGCTGGCCCTCCACCCATCCAGTAAGATAGCCAAGGAGAACCTGGAGGTGTTCTGCGAGGCCTGGGAGTCACAGCTCTGTGACATGGCTCTGCTGCTCAAAGAGATTAACGACGTCTTCGAGGGAAGACGAGGTGTGGTGAACTTAGCGATGCATGTGGACAACAATCTGTTGGACTGAATCCTCCAGAGCCGCAGGTTTAAATTATAAGCTGCTCCTTTTGATTTCAATCCAAACCATCTTAAAGGAGGGCTTCTACCATTTTTTGAGTGTTTTGGTGCAAAAAACCTTTAAATAGTTACCTATAAGATCTTTCAGGACTAATAAGCTAACTAAAACGCTAATCTGAGCACAGCCAAGATTACTGTGGCTCCAAAATTTCACAACATTCCTCAATTCCATGTAAATCGTTCAATGGACTGATGGACTAAATGGACAATGATACATCCATATACACCAGCATGGGCACTCCGCTCACACAATAGTCTCCTACTCACAGTTGCGAGGACTCGTTTAAAGGAAAGAGGTGACGGGGTTTTTCCATGGCTGGCCCGAAACGCTGAGATGAGTTACCTTGTAACGTGCGTGCTTCACCATCGGTGACAGTTTTTAAGCTCAGGCTAAAGATGTTTTTATTTGATCTGGCCTTTACCCGTGGCCGTTAGTCTGCTTTTATTTTCTTTTATTACTGCAATTTGTATGTTTTTTTTATTTATTTATTTTTTAGTATTTGTTTTTATTCTTGTTTTAATCCATGTCCTGTTATTACTAATACATGTCTGCACAGCGCTTTGGTGTCACCCCTGTGCCTGTAAGGCGCCTTAGAAATAAAGCTTCAGTTGACTTGAGTAAATCACTGTTCAGGGTAAAAAAAAAAAAACATACATCAACATGCAATTAAAGCTACAATGGCGGTCTGCTGAACAAGCTAGCTTAAAACATTTTTCATGCCTCATCAATTTAACATGGATCAGCTATAAATAATTTGTAACATATGCTAAACTCATGTATAAACATGCCAAAAAATACCTGTCAATCTCTGCTGTCAGTGTTTGGTTTACAGGATTATGTGGCTAAAATGAACCATTAGAAAAATTTCCCGTTTACGACGTCAGAATCTGAGAAATTAGGATAGAAGCCCCTCTCACCTGTCCACACTGGAGGAGCAGCTGCTCTACTCCTCCTGGATACCAGAGCTTTTCTGCTTATGACAGCCTGAGCGGGGATGGGTGGGTGTGGCCAGTGACTGCTCATTCTGGAAGGTACTAAAAATGTCATGAATCAAACTGCTAAATTTGCTTTTTGTGAGACTGATTTTGTGCAAAAACCTTCAGAAATATGTTTTGTATGGAACATAGAATTAATATAACTAAAAAATATGTCACCTTTAACTCATTCACTGCCATTGACAACAAAAGTCGTCATTTTAAATCCAACCGTTCACTGCCAATGACGACTAAAGTCGTCATTTGCATTTTTTTTACCGTGTGGGCGTCGGATCGAGCCCCCGCACCGTGAGAACAAACATCCCAGCTCCAAAGCTGATCTTCATCTGCATACGTCACACGTCACATGATCAGGAAGCAGAACATCCATGTGTTAGGAGATCGTTTTGGGCCGCTGCTGTAAAAAAAGTGAGACACGACCCAGAAAAGCGTGTTCCGATCACAGTTCAACAACAAATTATGAAAGAACAGATAACGCTCAAAACACGCAGATTCTTCCTGATGTAGGAGGTGAGTCTCCGCTTTGTTTTGTTAGTTTTGGCGTTGACATCATCCTAGCGCGCGATGTTCTGGGACTCTTAAAAAAACAGTGAAAACGCTGAAAAACAGTGGCAGCAAAGGAAACGGCTGGCAGTGAATGAGTTCAGACTGCTTGGGCTTGGCTGTGCTCAGACTAGCTGTTTGCTGTCAGTCCTGAAGGTGGAGAGCTCTTTTCTTCTCTAGACGAATGGTTTTCAGCTACCTTTGCAGGCAACCATTCATAACTTTTACTCAACAATGCTTTAAAACGCTCAAAATCTCCCTTAAAAGTGAATTGTTACCTAATTCCTAACGATGACTTGGTCAACGTCCCTTCTACGCGTCAGATAGCTGAACCTGCCCCTGGGGCGACGGAGGACAGCCGTCAGAATACACCTGAACGTTTCCCACATGCTGCCTCTGACCCTGATAGAATAACACACCTCTAATGACTCCTGGATGAATCATTTTGGCCTTGAGCTTCTTTTCCTTCATCAGCATTAATAAAAGTAAAAGTTGTGGTAACACGTATGTTTTTGAAATGAATCATGGAAGCAATCTGTAAAAGAACCTGTGTATTCACTCCTCTACTCGGCGTCCTTGCGCTCGTCGTTACGACGGCAGCCTGAGGTGTCCAAGTCGCAGAAACTCTTTGAGATGCAGCAAATTATAGCTGATAAATGTGTGTTAGCGTCAGGTTGAATCGATCCTTTTTCTCATTTTGTTTCCTAGATGACAAAAGACCCTACCTGTCACTTCCAAGACCCGGGGTGTGTATCACGCTGTCCGTCTCCAGTTTTTACCGATCCAGCCAGATCGTGATTAATAGTTGTTCTCCTTTGTTCCGCAGAAACACTCCGTGAACCTGAAGACTGCCAAAGCTGTCAAGTTGGATGCAGAGGTAGCATCCCGCTCATCGGGCTCTCAGCACTATTAATCACATCTGTCAGCAAGAAACTTATCTCCAACTAACTTTCTGTCACGTCCTCAGAAAACTGTTTGTGTTGTAATCTGCGGCTGCAGATTTTCCTTTTCTTTACGGGAAGCAGCATTATGTTAATTAGAGGCTGTCTAAGTGTGCAAACCAGCAAAAATTCCCTGTTTGCTAATTTGCATTTCCAGAATAACGCCTAATATTCTCCAGCCCTGCTCTGTGTGTGGGTGCAGGAGCAGACCAGCATGGCCAAACTGGGCCTGGAGCTGCGGCTGCTGTCGTCAGACGTGGACTCAGAGGTGGAGAAATGGGAGGAGCAAGAGCACGGCATCGTCCGGCACAGCCAGAGCCTCGCCAGCATGGCCTACAGCATGTACCTGTTCACCAGGTAACCAAACGGCTCACAGTTTTAGAACCACGGCCCGCATCTCAAAGCCCAGTTTTGTACGCAGCCGCACGATTCTGATCAGAGGCTTAGTGGAAATGAAATTCTAAATCCCCAAGCTATTAATATTTACCAGACACGCTTGTTTACAGGTTTTGTTGATTGTGCTTCTGTCGTTTGTCCTAATCCTTCTTCCTCTTTATTATTGTGATCATCGATTCCCCAGAGGGGAGGGGCTTCTGAAGACAACGCTGGATCTTTTCCATCAGGCGGAGGTACACACACCCTTTATCATCTATTTCCATCCATTTTATGGAGCTTGTAGATAAATGCATGTGCTGTTTCATCAAACCAAAGATACTACAAAGCTGCAGGATCAGTTTGTGGGAAATAAAGGTATTAATTGATTCATGACTCTGTTGCAGATCTGACGGATTATGACAGACTAATGAGTGTGCAGGAAGCCCAGCGTGTGAGCTTCCTGTCCATATCAAGTAATGAGGTCACGTAAAAAGGGTGTAAACTATTGAACTGAGATCGTTACCGCTGATGTACATTCGTTTGTAACATCACAGAACTCTGGTGTCACTTAGGATTTATTTAGTTTGGGATGAGAGAGGAGGCGTACTGACGAGAAGCTCCGACAACAAACCGAACCCTTGTTCTACTATAACAACTGTGGTTATTATTTTAGCTTTGTAGAAAATTCACTGAAATGTTAAAGTTTCAAATTGACCCAAAAGACCTTCTTTCATTGCTTCTGTTTAAGGTTCTGTCAGAAGAGGGACTCCAGCTCTGCTCCTCATTTCGCACATTTTCCTCTCAGGTAAACTACAGTTTGTTTCACTCCAAACACCTTTACGCTGAATAAATCATAAAAACAAACACTTTTAATCATTATTTGACTGAAATCAACAGCCAAGCATTCTGTATCACCTGCTGCCTCCAGTGTTGGAAACTACAGCCATGGTCAAAGGGTTGGAAAAGGACAGAGAAATGTGTTGCCTCAGGTTTAATGGTGGCCGTTTGCACACTGAACTTCATGGAGAATGATCAGATTAATTGGAGTTAATCGCAAAGTAGGGACTTAATATAACATTGATACACTGAAATATTGCATATCACGATATTTCAGTGTATCGGTATTTTATTGAGAATTCACATGCAAACATTTACTCTTGTGTGTGGTGTGATTCAAACTCCGACTGCTAGGTGGCAGCAGATCTCATGATAACTCGATATGTTTCAGAAGATTCTGACCTGAGTTTTCCTACTTAGTTCAGTCTGAAAAACAGGAAATATTATTTGGCTTTTAGTATTGAAATACATCATATCATCTGCTTTGTATTGTAATGTAATATACGGTATATATAATCAATCATATTACTAGATTTTTGCCAGTACACGTTTCCTGTGTCAAAGCCCTGGGCTCCCTTCTGCAACACAGTGAGGAAACTTTTATGGTGGCCAAGAAGGGCAGCAAAGAAGCCTCATTTCTGGAGGATGAAAAAAAAAACATGAACAAAGTGATGTTGGGCTTTAGATCCAGGGATTAAACTGCTGTGGACTGGATGAATTATCGTTCTGATATGCGGTGGCATCTGGAAAACCGATTTCCCAGAGAAGACGAGTTCCCATCAGTTATTCATCCTGCAAACAGTAAAGCATCCTGAGACCATTCATTTGTAGAACATAGTCATAAATAAAGAAGGGAACTCCTCCTAACCAATCTAGCACCAGTTTGGTGACGATTGATGTCTGGCGTGGTGCCAGAAGGTACGCGTCCAAGAAAGCCCCCGACTTTAATCCCATTGGGAACTTGTGATCAGTCCGCATGACGCAGGTGAACAAACGGAACCCCTAAAGTGTTGATGATGGAGAATGAGCTTCCATCACTCTGGATTCGGCCCAGAGGTTGAGTCACAGCATGCCAGGATGAACTGAAGAAGAAGTCTTGAAAGAAGAAAACAACATATTTCATTAACACATGAAATGATTATAATTATACTATAGTAACCATGGAAACTTGATAGTTAAAGATCTAAAATTACTGAAGCAGTTATGGAAATTTCATGCTTTCAGTTTTGCTACCAAAGAATCCAAAATAACTTTTCAGACCATAATTATTTTGTGCGAGCGGAGAGTTTCTGGATCCCTAAAGGAGCCCAACACTTCCCGGTATGGTGGTGCAGCAGAAAGCACACACATCAGCAGCACCCCTACAGAGCCTTTAACTCCTTCGCACGCCCATTTCACCCTTTCTGACACGTCAGCTGCTGGGTCGGCTAAATCAGGGCAGCAAATTAATGCTGTCGCACACCTTTTCTCCCCCAAAGAGCCGACGTCCAACAAACAAATAAAACGCTGCTGCTTCCTTCCTCCGGCGCTCGGCCAGCTCACGCTCCAGGTTCAATTAAACGGCTCTGCTAACGACCGCCATTTGTCACCGCTGACCGTGTGCTTGTGCACGTGTGTGGAAATGCTCAGAATTAGGAGGTCCGAGCATCTTTATGATCCGTCTCTCTGTGTCTTTCTTGGTTTTCCAGCTGGTTGATGAGGAGAAGTCTGCTCTGATGACACAAATGGAGAAGCTGGTGACTTTGTGCCAACAGCTGCAGATGGGGGCCAGGACTCCAGTCCAGGGCAAGACCGCCACCTTCCAGAAGGTTCACCTACTACACCTGTTTGTGTTTATTCTAAAGAGACAGCCAGTGGTTGGTTTTTGTTCATAATTGGATTGATTTGTGCTCATTAGGTGGGTGATGTCACACAAAACAAGAAGCGCAGGCAGGTCTTTTTGTTAGAGAGCTTTTAGCTTTGAACTCATGAAAAATAAAAGCTCAGTCGTGTATGAGTGAAATGCTCCTTAGTGGCTTTGATGTTGCTTTTATCCGATCTGTCAGGAAAAGCAACATTAAATGCACTTTTGATAAATGACTATAAGGAATTAACGAGCATCTGAAGCCTTAATGAGTACAAGAGAGGTTTGAATCAAAAGAAAAAGATGAAAAGTTTATTGATTGCCTTCTTTTCACACTAAAAGGTGAGTTTATAATCAGACACTGGCTGTTTTAGACCCTTTTAAGCTGTCTGCAGTTTGTCTCCTGAAGTTTGTTCATTTATTTAAACAACGTCACGTAAGCCTGTGGTTGCTCTGGTGCACTCTTCTTCCATCAGAAGTCCTTCTGTTGTCTCTTTAACCCACCTGTAGGTCATGACCTCTTAGAAACGTGTATTAGGTGTAACTAAGAAAGCATCACTGCCTTTCAACGCCCGGCTAACGCTGTTTGTCAGAGTGAAAACTAATCCAAAGTTTGGACTCAGACCTAAAATGTCACTGGAGAGACCTGAAAATAACACATTCACACGCTGGAGTGGATGAGCCACAGCTGCCCTGGGGCACACTGACGGGCAAATCCTGCCAAACACTGGCACCACTCGTCCCTCCGACCACCACCAGCAGGCGAGGTGGGTTAAGTGTCTTGCCCAAGGACACAACAGCAGCCTTCTCTGGTCGGAGCTGGGATTGAACCTGAAACTTTCTGATTACTGGACAACCCGCTCTACCTCCTGAGTGACTGTTGCCCCATGAATAAAACAAAAACTGTTCCTAGCAGCAGAAACCTATTTGTCAGATTTGTTTTAATCCCAATGATCTTGTTTTCTGCTTTTGGTCTGTAGGTGGACTCGTCTATCCAGATGAGCAGAAACCTCATGACTGTGGTCCTCTCCCTCCTCCCCGTCTGTAACAAACTCAACAAAAAGGTGCTGCGTTTTGCCCTCGCTACTGAATTTCCTTTGTTTTCACCATTTTGATTTGGTGTCGGAACACCACTGTAACTCCTCACCTCGCTCATCCGTCCCTTTAAATGGGTTTCATCTGGAAACTTTGCTGTAGTTTTAGAGGATTCGATGGGTGATTAGTGGAGAACTGGGCCGAGGACACAGCCCTGTGGTGCTCCTGAGCTAAGGGTGAGAATGGGTGGTTACCTACCTTGTATCTTGTATCCATAAACAGAGGACTGTGGGTAATCAACAGCTTGATGAGCTTCTTAAACAGTTTTAAGAGAAATTGAATTAAAAATGGAAATAACAATTAACATTCTGATGGGCGTTTTGCTCCAGATCTGGGAGGCTGTAAAAATGCTTTAAAGAAAGACAAATCCATTATGTTTATGTTTATGTATTTAGCAGACGCTTTTGTCCAAAGTGACTTACAAGTGATAATCGGCATGTTGCCCTTGAGGCTAACAACAACAACAACAACAACAACAACTTGACATCAGTCATGGAGAGGAGGGAACAAGGAGTGGATGGTAGAGAGGGGGGACGGGTGCAGGGAGGGTGCTAGTTTAGAAGATGCTCTCTGAAGAGCAGGGTCTTCAGGAGTTTCTTGAAAATTGAAAAGGAAGCTGCTGTTCTGGTAGTGCTTGGAAGGTCATTCCACATTTGTGGAACGATGCATGAGAAGAGTCTGGATTGTCCTGAGCGTGGTGTAGGCACTGCTAGCCGACGATCCTGTGATGACCGGAGAGGCCGGGCCGAGACGTAAGCCCTTGCAAGAGGATTCAGGTAGATGGGGGCCGTACCGTCTCAGACTTTGTATGCTAGTGTTAGCAATTTGAATTTGATGCGTGCTGCTAGCGGTAGCCAGTGGAGCTCAATGAACAGAGGGGAGACATGTGCTCTTTATGGCCGATTGAAGACCAGACGCGCCGCTGCGTTCTGGACCATTTGAAGAGGTCTCACAGTACAGCCTGGAAGACCAGTTAGAAGGGCGTTGCAGTAGTCGAGGCGGGAGATGACAGTAGATTGCACCAGGAGCTGGGTGGCATGTTGTGTTAGGTATGGTCTGATCTTTCGTATGTTGTACAGCGCAAAGCGGCATGAAGGAGCAACAGAGGTAACATGATCTTTAAAGGTCAGGGGTTCATTAATCACAACACCCAGATTTCGAACTGCCTTTGAAGGAGCCAGCGATAGGAAGTCATTTTGGTTTGAGATATTGTGCTGTATGGATGGTTTTGCTGGGATGACAGGTAGTTCAGTTTTAGAGAGGTTGAGTTGGAGATGGTGGGATTTCATCCATTTTGATATGTCAGAGAGACAGTTTGATATTCGTGCAGAGACAATGTGGTCGTCCGGTGGAAATGACAGATAGAGCTGGGTGTCATCTGCATAGCAGTGGTAGGAGAAGCCATGTGATCGAATGATCTCACCCAGTGAGGTGGTGTATATGGCAAAGAGAAGAGGTCCTAGTACAGAGCCCGGGGGGACTCCTTTGGCAAGATGGTGCACGGTAGAGGATTGTCCAAGCCAAGATACACTGAATGATCGTCCTGTGAGGTAAGATTCAAACCAGGCGTGTGCTTTCTCTGTGATGCCCATGCTAGAGAGTGTGGACAAAAGGAAGCCATGGTTGACAGTGTCAAATGCAGCCGATAAGTCGAGCAGGATAAGCACTGAGGATTTAGCAGTCGCTCTAGCTTATTTTAAGGATTCCGTCACTGCTAACAGAGCAGTCTCAGTGGAGTGGCCCTTTTTGAACCCAGATTGGTAAGGGTCAAGCAGACAGTTTTGTGGGAGGTATTCTGTAATCTGCTTGAAAGCCACCCTTTCAATGATTTTGGACAGAAAAGGGAGGAGAGAGATAGGTTGGTAGTTCTCCACATGATTTGGAGGAAGAGATGTTTTTTTAGCAGCGGTTTAACCTGAGCATGCTTGAGAGAGGTGGGAAATGTACCGGGTGTCAGTGATGCGTTGATCACATGTGTGACTGCTGCGGCTACTGTAGGAGCAATAGCTTGGAGCAGCTTAGTCAGAATGGGGTCCAGTGGGCATGTAGTAGGGCAGCTGCACGTGAGAAGTTTGGACACAGTTCTCAGTGACAGGGGAAAAAGAGGAAAATGAAGCAGTAGGGCTTGAGATGGTTGGGCTAGAAGGAGTTTGTGGTAGTGAATGTTCAGGAGTGGCCAGTTGAGTAAACTGTTTGCTTATAGCTGCCACTTTGTCAGTGAAGAATGAGGCAAAGGTGTCAGCTGATAGATTGTTGGTAGGAGGTGGAGATGGAGGGGTGAGCAGAGTTTTGAATGTTGAAAATAGTTTCTGAGAGTCAGTAGAGCTGAGAATTTTGTCAGTGTAGAAAGCTTTCATTGCATCAGAGATGCTGGCAGAGAATGAGGACAGTAATTCATGAAATTTCAATTGATCACCAGGATCTTTTGTTTTGCGCCATTTCCGTTCCGCAGCTCTAAGATTGGTGCATAGAGACCGGAGGGTATCATTTAGCCAAGGGTGCGACTGAGAGGATCTAGCAGGTCTAGTGGCTAAAGGACACAAGTTGTTAAGACAAGAGCTGAGTGTGGCATCTCGGTGGCATCATTCACTTCATAAGCAGAGAATGTGCTGGGAGATGGAAGAGTGGAGGCAACAAGAGAGGAGAAGTAGTTGTGTGCCAGATTGCGGAGGTTGCGGCGGAATGAGACCATTGGGGAGGAAGCAGTGGACCTCCCTTGTAGAGTCGAGCTGAAATGGATGAAGTAATGATCAGAAAGATGCAGCGGTGTGACCGAGATTGTTTCTATGGCACAGTTTCTGGTGAAAATGAGCTCAAGTGCTTTTCCAGCTTTGTGAGTTGGAGGACTTTGTACTAGTTTTAGATCAAATGACGACATTAGTGACAGGAAGCCTGATTAGCTGGGATTGTCCAGGTGAATATTCATGTCTCCAAGGACCATTGTGGGACAGTCGTGCTCAGGAATGGAGGAGAGCAGGGTGTCGAGTTCATCAAGAAAGTCTCCCAGTTGACCTGGTTGGCGATATATGACAACCAAAAATATTTTTTTCGGTACAGTTACCTGGATGGCATGGTATTCAAAGGAGTTGTATTTAGTGATGGGTAGCAACTGACTGTATATCCATTTGTTGGATATTAACATGCCCGTTCCACCACCTCGGCCAGATGCACGAGAAGTGTGGGAGAAAGTGTGGTTAACTGAGAGCAGATGGGGTAGCATTGTCACATGGTTTGATCCAGGTCTCAGTGAGAGCCACTGCATCGAGTGACAGGTGGTTTGCATGTGCTGTAATGAAGTCAGCTTTGTTTACAGCTGATTGGCAGTTCCACAGTCCCATAGACAGGTGGGTGTCTTCGGGGGGAGTTGGTTTTAGCGAGCGGAGGTTTAGAAGGTTGCAAAAGCGGTTTGCTGTGTGTGACTTTCCTCTGAAGCCGGTGATCACAGGTATAGGATAATGGCACATTTTACGAGGTGTTGATGGAGCAGCGGCTGGGTCGAGTTTGTTTGCTCTGTGGACACGCGCAGGTAGACACGTATGTCTTTACCCCGGAGTGTCTTCACACTGGAGGGGCTGAGACACAAGGACTGACGCTTCAGTTAAGCCACCAAAACTTATGCTGGGTGTTCATGCACCAGCTGATTGCAATGGTTGAGGCCTAGATCACCTGATGAGTTTTCAGGGAGGGGAGAAACCGCTCGTTCACAGCCCGATTGCACTTGTTTTCACTTGGCCCAAACCGGAGCTACTAGACAACAGGATTACTCACAGATGAGTTTCCTTCTCTTTCCCAATGGAAGATAGTGCAAAGCAAAAGTTTAAGAAGACAAAAACAAGCACTGACAGACACTCAAGGCCCTTCGGTGCAGATTCAAGTCATTAAATTTTGGTCTGTAAAACCAAACGGGCAAATCTTTATACAGATGCTTAATTCTTTTCCCTTTTTTCTGTGTGTTTAGTATAAATCCGAGCCAACCAGCCTCGGTTCCCCTCAGGACTGGAGAGAAAGGCAGGATGCCTCCCCCAGCGTCAAAGACGACGAGGCTTCTGTCAGCAGCAAAAACACCAACGGCTTCGGTGTCAAATCCATGGAGCAGCACATGGCTGCTCTCAACCTACTGGAAAGCAAATAATCCAGGAAATGACCGGTTTTATTTTTTCCTCCTGCCTATTCTTGTCAGAGCATCACATCGTCAGTCTCAACTCTGCGGAGAACATCCATGATGTCATGACACCAGAGAGCAGAGGGCGAAGATGGTTGCCTTTGCAAGAGTTGAAAATGTTGAACGGCAGAGTCTGTAGAACCACCCTTGTCCACTAGAGGGAGAAAATCAGCCAAAACTACAAGTCTCCAAAGAAATCTGGATCTGGAGTCACTTTTATCCTGCAAATAGATTTATAGAAATGTAGAGCTACAAGTAGAACTGTTTCCTGCTCAATCAGCCATAGATCTGTCCTCACTATGTGCCTACGTGGAACCATCTGCTCTGTGTTGTTCTGTAAACGTGTTGCACAAAAGGAGAAAATACACAATCATTAATAAACTCTGCAAGGATCACAGCTTTGTATTGTTAGATGTAGTGATGACATTTATAAGTCATTTTACAACATTTAATGCTAAACATTCCCCATTTGTGTTCGTCACGACGAAGCAGATATTCAGATTCTGTTACGTTCATCACTGCAGATGTTTAAGTCGAGTCTTTGCGGGAGGTTTTGGGGAAATCTGCATTTTAAAAAGGTCCTCTTATCACAAAACAGATATAACTGTAAACAAGCCGAAGCTTCAAGTGTTCTAGTTATGATTGTTGCAAAGCTGCAGAACGGGCCATGTATTAAGCTAGATGTACAGTATATACAAATATATATTATGATACTTGAAGCGTACAATAAATGACTGGTACTAGGTGAGTGAGATTACTGGCGTGTAACAGACTAAGCTTTAGAGACGTTGTGTTTAAGACGTTTGACTGAAACTGAAAGTTCTGGCAGGAAATCAGACGAGGAAAAAAACATTTACTTTTGAACCACCTCATTTTGAGAACTGACACTTAAAATAAAATATTTTTCTTAAATCATTGCTTGTATGTTTTATTAATTTAGAAAAACAAATATTCTACAGAATATACCAGGATTTCCTCAGATTTTCTCTAAATTGCGAGCTGAACATCCCGGATATTTCTTTGAAAACACAAAACAACCTGAAGGCACACAAACGTTAATCCCAGGAGTAGCTAAAGCTCTTCCCACTGAGACTTTCAGTCTTATCTTGTGAGCATTCTGACTAATAAAGGTCCTCTGGAAGAATCTGGGCTTGAAACCTGCATCAGGGGGGGTGTGACTGTCCACGTTTGGAGACGATCTCTTCAAACTCCTCTCTTCTCAAGAGGTTTTCTGTTATGCTCTTGCTTTCCTCAAACTTTGGCAGGATGACGGCGATGTAGCCTTCAGTGGATGGCTGTCGAAGTCGGAAACTGTAATCACTTATTAACATCAGACTGAGCTTTCATATCATGTAGATATTGTAGAATTAAAAAGTAGTACAGAAACTCAAAGAATGCACTGTATTACATAAAGTTAGCGTTATATAGACATAAATAACGATACCTTTTCCAACAAGAGATTTGGGGTTTTCAGAATATTCTCATTGACCTCTAGGAGACGTCCTCGAATGCAGCTAAAACGACAGTGAGTCATAAGATCAGAATCAGAAATGGACCTAAGGAGACGAAACAAGCATCACCTGTAGATGGTGTACTGTGTGTCATCTGAGCACGTTATCCTGCACAAAGGTGCAAAGTCCGTGACAAACTGCCCTCCCTATGGTTGATACAAGACAAGGAGAAGCAACATGAGGATCGCTAACAAAAACATTTCATGAAGACTGAGAAAAAAGTCCAAAGCTTTGTGTTTTTACCCTCTTAGACTTCCCAGTGACTTTGTTATTCAGGCGGCTGCAGCCATTACTAATCTGGTAGTTGATGCTCTTGACTGTGCGACCCTCCTGAAGGACTGGATGGGTCTCTGCTAAGGTGATGACGCAAAGTCTAAAGTAAAATATACCAATAATTTATTATTTATTATATTTAGACCCCGGATGAAATCTGATACTTGTTTTATGCACAACGCCTAAACTAAAGATTGCAGTTCATTTTAATCGGTTTCAGGTAATTAATGTTTGTGTTGTGAGGGACGACATGGTCTAATCACCACCTGCTGTTTTATCACCGTGTTACCTGTTTGAATGTTGAAGGATGCAATGGTCTTCACACGCTTTCCCCTTCATGTCTTGAAAATAAAATATATAAATAAAATAGGACAAAAACGACAACTTTAAAATATAAATATATTTAAAATCCGCAATTAGCTCCTCCCCAAAGTGTCAAGCTGCTAGCTAGCATAGCTTTACTAGCTAGCTACAAAATAGGTTCCTATGAGGCTAGAAGTTCCCTTACCTGCTCGGTACCACCGGGTAAAGTATCGGTCGATGACAGAAGGTGCTTCTTCATTTGCGTTTTTCTGCTCCGCGTTATCCATTAATGCTACTAAACCAACAGACTCACGAAAACGTAGTATTTTTACGCCACTTAAGCGTGACGGACAGTACTTGACGTGACACCGTGTGGTCCGTCCCGTTATACAACACGTCCAGAAACAGTAAGTTCCGATTGATTTTTTATTAGTCTATGATGGCAATAAAATACAATTAGATTAAAATAAATTTTACAACTAAATATAATTTAAAAGATTTGTCTACAATATCTTGCCAAAATTGTACTTTTTAAGAATAATTCTCCTCTCAGACCACTAGATGGCAGACTGATGCTAAGAATAGAGTATGCTTTAAAACAATTTTTATTTTATACGTAAATAATATTTGGAAATATAACCAGTTGCTTAAATTACATTTATTATTAGTCTATATTTCACGTCCTGAAGTAGACTCATTTTATAATTTATTTTCATAAATTTAACATTTTTCTTTAATGGACAAGCGCCAATTAAAAAACATTCATTCAGTTTTTTGTGGGAGAAAGAAGAAGCTCCTGCTGGGAAAACAACCAGGTAATTTACTGCAATAGAACACGTGGACCTCTGATTGTGTCATGGTGGTTACACTCCAAACATAATCACCAAATAAAGACTTTTTTCACTCTTAGCTCTCTGTAGAGCCTTGGATGTGGTTGTGTGTGTGTTGGCTTTGGTCTCTATACAGGCTGTGTCCTCAGGCTTTTTTTAAACACTAAATATTTCACATTTAAATGTTTATGTAGGTCAATGACTGATCTGCAGCAGTATTCATTCTCTGTGGTTCTTCCAAAAAGTCGTGCAATTTTGTGCAATAAAAGCAAAATAAATGAGAAAGAAGCATTTTTGAACAAATCAAAATGTTCACCTGCTGTTCAGGGAAAGCTCTGTGTTGAAGTCATCAGTTTGGACAGCTGGGTGTTGGGATGAAGGAAAGGATGTGGTGGGATTCAAGGAAGTTTTATTCACAGAAAACACATTATGGGAAGAATAATCTCTCCCAATCTCTTCATTTCCTGAAATTAACCCCCTTTGCTGTTTGTTCCTTAATCCCATTTCTAGGGACAAGGATATAGACCTGGATCCTTCCAAACTTTTGTTTTGATCCGGGCTGAAATCTGATTTATATAGCGCCTATCTCATAAGCTATCCAGTAAAAACCGGACGCTTTTGTATGACTCTGAATCCTTTTATACTCATCAGAAAACCCTTTTGTGTGGTTCTCTGGTTTTCTCACCTTGGAGCTGAGATTCTTCCGCTCCTTTTCCAGCTGAAGCCGTTTGTTTTTTAAGATGCACGCACAGAGATTTGTGATGATTGGCGCATAGAGACTGTATTATCTTTCCTGTCCACACGAACATCACAGTAACTGCATTCAGCTTCAGGGAAGAGATGTTACGATGTGAATTTGGATCGCTCGCGGTCAGAAGAGTCTCCATTTATCTTCACTCATGCTGATTCCTGAATGACCTTATCACCGTTAGCAAGAATCACATGCAGATAGGTCTAATTATTTCTCTTTTTGACGTTTTTACATGCAATGAAACGGCCTGACTAATGCTGAGTGGACAACTCTCTCTGCGTGGTGCAGCATTAGGCCACCAGATGTGTGAGTCTGTCTCATAGGCTTTTCCATTCAACACACACAAACACACACACACACACACACACACACACACAGTTTTTTACTCCAATCAGTTACTCTCAGATAGTTTACAAGACTTTAAAACAAGCCAAATCAACTTTCACATCCATCTCTCGAACGGAGAGGAAAGTGCTGAGCTCGACTCGACTGGTCACACACACTTGGCTTGTAAACTTAAATGAAAACATAAATAAGATTGGCGTGATGCCAACCTGAAGCCAGCGTTTGGGGATATGCGCTGACTTTCTTAAATTACTCTCCGTCAGCGCGTTTGGTGTAACTGCTCAGAGGGGCATCTCGTATTCTGGATGTGTTTTTGTGTGTGTGACAGGGTCACGCTGAGACCTTTGATCAGGAGAGGCAGGTGCTCTACATTAACACGAAGCACTGGAGCTTTAATCATGCAGGGATCCATTTCCTGTAAAACTTAACCCTGTTGTTTCCCAGAATCCCAAAAGTCAAGCCTGAGGTTTTCTGTGGCAGCAACACGTCAGCGCCATCAGGAAGCGTTGGAGAGTCAAAAGCAGACAGCAGTGATGCCAACTGTAAGCCAATTATATGGAAAAGCATATGTATCCTCATTTTGAAGGTTTAGCTGGAAACAACTGGACTTTTCTTGTTTTTCTAGAAAACATTTCTTCATTTCTGAGAGATCTTCAAGATTACCATAGCCTGAGTGACTGAGGCCCTGTCCACACGTAGCCGGGGATCTGCCAAAACGTAGATATTTTTCTACGTTTTGGCCTGTCATCCACACGAAAACGGATCTTTTTAAAAACTCCGGCCAAAGTGAAGATCTGCGTTTTCTCCGTTTTGGGTGTCTGCGTGTGGACAGACAAAACCGGAGTTTTAAGGTCCGCAACGTCACTTTCTGCGACAAAAAAATGCTGACATCACGTGTGCGACCTGTGTTTACACTAGCCGACAGCATGGATGCCCTCAGAGCTGCGCTCGCTTTATCAATTGTCCAAGCGCTTTCTGCTTGTTTGTGTTTGCAAGCGGAATTACTGCTCCTTGCAGAAGACCACAGACGAAGGACGAGGTTAAGAACGGGGGAAGTACTGCCGCCTACAGGTCTGGCATGTCCTTAACAACGTATTTATCCGGGTACGTGTGGACAGAGTTTGTTTTAAAATGAGGTGGTGTGGATGCAAGTTTTTGGAGGGGCGGATATTCGTTTTTAAAGAAAACCAGCTACGTGTGGACTAGGCCTGAGTCACTACACAACTGGATGCACCACCAATCAAATTAATGAGTCACAGTTGGTAGTTGCACCATGAAAATGAAAAAGTATTTCTGTTAATGCAGTTTAATTTGAATTATGGTACATATTTGTTTCCATAAATTTCTGATATGTTTAAATAAACAGGGGGGATGTGACTTTAAGGTGACCAAACAAGCTGGTTTGTGTACTCAAAGGGCTGATCTACTGGGATTTGCACCCAAAACCATAGAAATGGTAAACAGAGAATTATACAAAAATAAAAAGTGGAAAAAAAGTCAGTAGGTCTCAGTCCAGTTCAGAACCTTTGGGATGTGATGCAATCTCCATAAAGAATTAGGGCAAAAGAGAGTCAAACCCATCTTTGTCCTTTTCCAAACGGTCACTCTCTTCAGGAATCACGTATACGGGTTTAGCCTTTATGGAAGAATATTAGAGACACTGAAAAGAAGAAGAAAAAAATTCAGATTTATTTTTCAGAATTCTGAGTTTTTCATCTCAAAAGTCAAAAGTCTGTATTCTGAGAAAAATATTATGTAAAACTTTACATTTTCTTTATTTTTTAAGTGGCCCGAATCCTCTTCCATACCCTTCGGGGATTCATAAAGTGTTTAGAACAAATTTAAATAAACCCGGTACTCGAGAAGCCTTGTTGGTGTGATGGCTTTGGATTTAGGAATAAGTAAATTGGGTTTAAATTTTTTTATTTCATATTTGTACATTCCCTGCTTTCTATGCGCCTTCATTTTGTCTTATATTTTTAGTTTATCTGCAATTTACCAACTGCCAACACGCTTTCAACATTCTCTGTTGTTGGCATTATTTTTGAAATTGGACCAAAAGGGATGTAATTTCATCAATTCTCCACATGGAACGATGATTCTGTTACTTTTTTAAAGCTCTAAGTAGATGCCGTAAATCCTCTAATATTAGCCTGTATTAGAGGATTTACGGTAGTCTGCACGTTGAGTCCTTGAAAACAAAACCATGACAGTCCATGTCTGGTTCTGTGTCTTCATCTTTAGAGAGGACCAAGAGACTGACGGTTACCTGTTTAAAGAAGTAACCCTTGCTTAAAATGGGGTGTTTTAAAATGTACTTAACTGGTAATGTTAGTTTTGACATTGTAAAATAGAGAAGTTCTAGAAGTTCTTCTACAAAATAGAACAGAACAATTGTTTTTATGTTTTTAAGCACTCGACTCACTCTGAATTGTTGATAAAGGAAGTGTTTTACCCTCAGAAACACTGTCTGTTGTTTAAATGCTTATCTGACACGAGAAGCTAAACCCTCTGCAAACCCACTTCTAGCTTTGCTCTGGTATCTGACTCGGCTCAGTTTCACATCATATTTTTAGATTTCACACACTTATTTCTCTGATTCAAACCAAACAAACCTAAAGATAAGCTCAAACTGTGAAAAAGTTTTTCTTTTTGTTCAAACCTAGATTGTTTCTGTTTTTGCACACGGTTCTTTTCAGATTGGTGATTTCTGTTTCTTTCCAGAATGCAGAAGAGGAAATTGCGGAAGAGTACTACAGAAATATAGGTGTGTTTACCAACCATGTTTCCACACTTACAGACTTACCGTTTGTTGTAAAAATGCATTTTCATTAGCTGTTAAAATAAGGAAACAAGTATGTCTTAAGCAGGGGTGGATTTAGCAATTTGGGGGCCCAAGGCGAACACAGACATGGGGCCCCTTACACTAAATTTTCGACAATCTGACCTTTAACTGGATTTGCAAAACTCTCCCCTCTTCTGACATGAGTTATTTTCCCTTTTTATTAGTCCTCCTCTTTTTTCTGGTTTTCTCTCCCTTTGAGTGCCTTCAATATTTGCTCTGCTTTTTTCTTCCTGTTAGTGCTCCTGTGCTTTTGCCTTAGTTTTTTTTTCTATTTTCCATTTTGGTCTATGTTTTCCTCCCTTGAAACATTTTCCATTGTCTTTCCTTTCTGCCTCCTTTTGATGTTATCAAAGCACAAAGAGGACTCAAATGAAGAGCTCACACAGTTTTAATCAGCAGAAGGGATTCCTGGAGTACAACACAACTGAAAAGTTCAAATCTAACTGAATACACTTTTACCCAGTGTTTCTGAGAGCAGGTTCACATCACACAACAGGAGAAGACAAACTGGCAAAGGAAACTGTTGCAAATGCTTAAATGGAGAAGCCAGGACCCAGGTGCAAGACATGAGGCAGATTAGTGAGGAGCCTCATGTCGTGAAGCTGCCTGTAATGAGACAGGAAGTGAATGCACAAAAATAAAACAGGAAGTACCAGAAATACAATAAAACTAGAAACAAGACTGCAAAGCACTCAACCTGCAGAATCACCCATGACAGATGTTTACATCGAAAAACGACGTCACTTTCAGAAGAGAAGATAAAAGCTTTTATGAAGCATGCTGCTTCTTTCTCTTATTGGAGCCACTAGGATAACTCCATTTCATGCTTCATGTTTTGACTATCGCTTTGAGTTTGTTACGAACGCTCCTGCCTCTCTTCTTCTTATTTGTGGTCGTATGCCACTTGGCAACAAACCATTTGGTGCATTACTGCCACCAAGTGGATTGGAGTGGAATGACTACCAATCACTTCCTGTTTGTGCATTGCCGTCTTAATAACCCTTTTATGACCATAATTATAACAGGGCCACCTGGTATTTTTCTTATGGCTGTAAAATTGTAATAAAAAGTACAAAGTGTGTGTAACTCTTCTCCTTTTTTCAGAACAACCTCATCTTTTAGTGTATGGTTTGTATTTAGAATTTATTTCTATTAAAGCCGTTAAAAAATCAGCTTAAAAGTGAAAAAAGCAAAAAACGGATATGAATTTTTTACATTTATTACTGAACAGGAACTTCAAAATTACTGGGCGAACAATTTAAACTTTGAACTGAAACGCATCTATTCTTTAAAAAGTGTGAACCTTGGTATAATTTATTTTAGCAGTTTTTAAGACTTTATTTTTGTAAACTTTCAGACGTTTTTATTTGATGTGGTAGACCTTGAAGCAGTTTCTCTCCAGCTGCAGGCAGAGTCCTGCACACCTCACACTGCCATGGGGTGCTTCTCTTGCACACCGTGCACTGCTATACCAAAAACTCTTGTTTTAGCAAAAATAATTATTTATGGTAAAAAGATAAATAATGCTGGAATGAAGCTGAATCTTACAATTAGCAAATAGTTGAGGGTTGTTCAAATAAAAAAATAAAGACTGAACAAACATTCATACCCTGGTTCACCGGGGATCTGTCCTTCTCCGGTGGCTACCGTAATGTATTGTAAATGCACGAAAAGCCCCATTTTTCATCTTTTCAGCACTTTTGGAATTTTAATGATATCTTGAACGGTTCAGGAATTATGGTAACGAGAATCACGTCCAATCCCGTCTGCGGCCACAGGTTGGTAATAAGAATATTGTGGCATTAACAGAGGGGTGCCGGCGGTCAGGGCTAGGGGGCCCCCCAACACAAGGGGGCCCCAGGCGGCCGCCGACCTACGCCTAACGGTAAAACCGCCTCTGGTCTTAAGCCATTTTATATAGGGTCACAGTATCACATAAAAACATGCTGTTTTAATGCTTTTTGCAGAGAAATTAGTTTTTTGTTGAACCAGTTTTAACATGCAGTTACTTTACAATTGTTGCACAGTTTTAACATTTGCTTGTCATTTTTGCAATCTATAACCTGGTTTCATCTGCAGACCCAGCGTAGGGGGTTGCTTCTGCAGCGAACCAGCGAGTTATAAAAGCTGAACTTATCTTGGCTATTTGTGGTTCATTAAACACATAAAAGCACGGCACATCGACATGCTGAACACATAACTTACTTTTTACATTGGTAGTCATTCATCAGAAACAGAAAAAGACAGATTATAAAGGTGTAACGCACACAGGTTGGTTAACTTTAGATTAAAACAAAAAAAAATAAAAACTAACAACTGGGACGTCCGTGTCAAATTTCCACTGCTTTTCAGAGAAGCTCGAAACACGAACTATGTCATCATATCACAGCGGTGTGTTTTTTACATGTAATTTAGCCAAAAACACCACAAACAAACAAACAAGCTGTTTACTTCACTCATTTTTCAACTTACTGAGCTGAAAATGCAAACAATTCAGCCAAACAGCTTAACCAGATAATAGTTTGATCTGTTTTTACCATTTCATCCAACAGGCCTTTATTATATAATGATGCTGTTTATTCTTCCACGTCCCAGTGCGTTGCATAGTCTCTATGTGTAGTAGATTTCAGGGTCTGACCCCCTCCATGTGGACGCTTTCATCTTCCTCTAGAAGTCTTCATCATATTCAGTGTTGGCGTTGCCGTTTTCTGGGACTGCATACACAGATTTGCTTTTCTTCTTCCTGCGCTCTGATCGCAGCTGTGTGGGCTCTTCGTGGCCAGAAAAGGACAAATAGGCAGCAATGCTGTTCCTGACGCCGTAGCTCACCACGTCGTCGCCGTGGCCGTCTGTGCTGACCAGCTGTTTCCTGTCAGTGCAGCAGAAGCAGAGACAAAGGTCATCCGTGACCTGTTTCACACGTAAGAAACATTCGTGCACCAACATTACTAAAGCACAAGTTAAGAAAAGCTGTGTCTGTGTAATGTGGGGGTTTAAAATTGATCTGGCCATTATTTTTCTTCAATTTGTGTCTCTTTTAAGCAGAAACGCAAGCCTGGCCTGCCAGACTCGTCCTCTGTTTAATCCTGAACAGAGAAAGAGTCTGGTTACTCACAGGCAGAGAGGCACATGAGGGGCGGGACTAGGCAGCTCAAAAATAACCAATCAGAAAAAAGACAAAATGCCGACTGTACCGCGCAACACTGTAGTTTTTTAGCTGTAGTAAGAATGGCGTCTGGCAACGGCACAAACATCTTCTTTTTTTTTATTAGAGGAAAGGCTTTTAGCGCTTCTACTTGTGATTTTAAAGATATTTGAGTCATTTAGACCAGAGGAACGAGCCGCAGCGAACTCCGCCGCTGTCTTCGTTGTTTATGAGAGACTGGGCGTCGCTGTGTGAGACGTCCGCCATGCTGTAGTCTTTTAGCTGTAGTCAAAAATGGCGTCTGGCGACAGCGCAAACATCTTTCTTTAGAAGAAATGCTTTTAGCGCTTCTACTTGTTGTGGTTATAGATGTGTCCAAGTCATTTAGACCAGAGGAAAGAGCTGCAGCGAACTCCGCTTTAGTCGCCATGTTTATGAGAAACTCAGCATTGTGGTGTGTGACGTACGCTACTCAGCGCTGATTGGCTCGGTTAGATTTCTCACAGGGTGGGGTTATTTGAATTGGAGAGTTCCCAGACCCTTTCTTTGTGCAGAATTAAACAGAGGAGGAGTCTGGCAGGTCAGGCTACAGAAACGCACCAATCTGAGTTTTAGGCCAATCCCGAAAGTCAATTTTTGTAGGTCTGACTGGATGACCCCAATTTCTCTGTTCAATGTTACTGACAAAGTAAACATGTTTTCTTTCTCATTTCCATTTAAATTAAAATTGTTATTGGGGTTTTAAAAGAAAGGCCTGTGGGAAAAGCATCAAATCACACTTCCTTCTCTCTTTTTCACTGCATATGGAAGAAAATGTCCTTTTTCCATGTTTTCTAGACAGAGAGGTCATTGCACCAATAAAACCTAGCTTCATATTTTAAAACTAGTCCTTTACTCATATTTTAAATACGTTTGTAGTGGAATGAATGTCTTGTAAGTGGTTCTCTGGGGAAAAAGAGCTCCAGCGCACCTGTTCTGCCAGTCGAGCCCGTTCTCTGCTGTTTCCTGGATGCTAAACCAACAACAGCCTTCCCCGTTGCAAGACAAGATGGCGGAGACCATGAATGTTGAGTGAAAGTGTGACATAGATCTGTCAGGCTTTTCAGATGCTAAAGTTTCACAATCTATTTTCTACCAGAAGCTAATGCTAATAGGTGTAGGAGACTATTTTAACATTCAGCCTGAATGAAAAACTCAGAGTTACTGATCATCTTGTTTCTCAGTGAAGGACCTCTTTCAAAAACATTTGTTTTGTGTGACAGATTATTGCCTTAAAACGTTATTTTTTTCAAAAGGTTTCCTACGAAGGAGGATTAGGGTCACTGAAAAGAAAAGAAACATAATTCTGACTTTTATCTTAGAATTCTCTAATTTCTGAGAAAAGTTCAACTGATGTCAGAATCAGTGGCGTGTCCAGATCTTTTAAAATGGGGTGGGCCAGGTGAGGCACAACTTTGTGCATGGGTGGCACCAATGGTTATGCTTTTTTGTTTTACCCCCAAGCCTTTTGTGGACAATGAAAAGCCTATTTAAAGATAAATTAGTGTGGTGGCACCTGGGGGGGCCAATCAGATTCCAAGGGTGACATGTGCTACCCCAGGCCACTCCCTGGACACGCCCCTGGTCAGAATCCTGAGATGAAAGTCTGATTTTTTTTTCTTTTCAGTGACCGTAATCCTGTTCCGTAATTTGCACACACACACACACACACACACACACACACACACACACACACACACACACACACACACACACACACACACACACACACACACACACACACACACACACACACACACACACACACACACACACACTTCAGTGGGTTTTGAATTTTAAAGACCTAATTTAGAAAAGGGTAATCACATATATATTATATTTAGAAAGTTAAACCTTCTAGTTGATTAAATGTCCAATATCATCACCCAGTATTGCCGTTAAAATGATCCGTATCAGTTTTTACTCTTTTAATGGCAACTTTCATTTACCATAGATTGTTTTTGGTTTTTTGCATCAGTTCCTACAAAATAAAATGGACCAGGATGGAAAGTCAGCCTGAACAGTAAATTAAACCACAAACATATTTCTGTAAAAATGCTAATCTCCTTAAGTCACATTTCAGTGAGAACAACTTTCTGGGCTCAAGAAACAATACAAGAAGGAGAAAAAGAGGCAACATTTTACCCTTTTTAAAAACACGATGATGTTTCTGAAATGTCTAGTGAAGGTTCTTTCACAGTGCATCATTTATGAGCTTTTTGGCTCTCCATAATCCACCTCTGGTTGCCTCACTCACGGCTCACCCAACCACGAAGCTTTTCCACACTGCTTACTGGAAATGAACAGGCAGGTCTTCAAGCTCATTTGAACTACTCGTGCATGCTTTACTTTGATGTAGGGTTCCATTAAAAATGTCTTTCTTCAGTCCTTTTTTGTTGTGGCTATTAAAGCTATTAAAAGGTGCACTAGTTGTTAGATCAAAGTGGGGACAGGCCTGCTTCAAGGCAGACAATTTAACTTTCAGGAGTATGAAAGGCACATGTTTAATTATGAGAGCTCCTGTTCTGTGTAAACGTTAACGACCAGAACTTGTGTTACATATAATAAGTCCATGCATTGGTGCAGTCAACAATGCGCCGCGAGCCAACAGGCAGGGCAGGCGATAGCTTGGGGCTCCCAGGCCACAACAGGACCTCAGAGGACTGACAAACGTTGAAGTCAGAAGCGCAACAGTAGAGAGACAGTAGTGAAAGCTGTCATTTGACAGCACTGTTGGCCGTCTCACATTCCTTGACAGGGCCCGCCCCCTCCCTCCCTCCCTCCCTCCCTCAACGGTGATTAAGTATAATGGCAGTATTTTTTAGGCTACAGAGTAATCTAATTAGTTACGTTTCCCATCGTTGCAACGCCATTATCATTACTGGGCATGTAAAGTGGTGTGTTACTACTTTACTATAATGCAGGGGTAGGCAACCCTGGGCCTAGAGAGCTGTAGTCCTGCATGTTTTCCAGCCATGCATGAACTTGCAGCTTCTAATTCACTAAACACACCTGATCTAGGTTATCAGCAGTAAGAACAACAAATATAGATGGAAAACAAACAGGACTGCGGCTCTCTAGGACCAGGGTTGCCTACCCCTGCTATGTTGTGATTGAATGAACGATGCACAGTGGTTGTCAGGCTTTCTGACAGCTACACCAGTGATGTGTCAGTTGCACATGGAATAGTGAAATCTTGAGCCAACCAGAGATGGAGTGTATCGCCAGTAACCACACCCCCTATCCTAACCCAAGCCGGTGTTACAAACGGCAAAAGTGAACACACAACGCCAAACACATCAGGGTGTTTGTTTGCAACCAGAGATGTGTGTGTGTGTGTGCAGTGTCTCAAACACTTGAGTGTGTCATCTCCAATCCCCTATTGGGGGGGGGCAATTATTACACTAATATGATGGGACATGTGAATATTGGTGAGGACAAATCTGTCAAAGAGGATGAGCTTATTGTAAACAAGGGCATGTAAATGTCAGTGTTGATTAATAAAAGGTATTTACCATTCTTATAAAGTACAATATTTGATAAACACAGGTACAGATGTTGGCAAAAAGTCTAAAAGTAGTCACTTTTTCTACTAGTACTTTAATTATGGAGAAGAGGTTGGTAGATGCTTTATTCTTGCCAGTCATGGGTTGCCCCCCACCAGAAATTACTCTGGACTCGCCCCTGCAGAAGACTTCTGCACGGACCAGATCAGAGTATTCACACCAGCTGTGATGTGGTACCGGTCTGGATGGAGTCTATTTTTTCCGGACACCCCATGCAGACTATCATGTCATTAAAGAAATGACATGAGTCAGGAGACAGGAAGTGAGACATGCTTCAGAGAGGTACATGCAGTATATTTCAAAATAAAACCCATGTTGTTGAGTTTTTTCCCCAGCTTGTTTTATATTATTAAAACAGGTCAGCACATGACCTGTAGTCGGTGTGAATGGCAGGGGGTCTTGTTCTGTGTGAAAATGAAGCAGTACAAGTGATAATGCTGCAGGATTTCATAACTGTATCCTTCTCAGTAGCAGCTCTGCAGGTGCTCTCCATGTCCAACATGTGTGTAAGCCAGGTCCTTAGTCAACTTAAAGTTGCACACATTTTTCTGCTAAGTTTTCTTTCATAAATCCCAAAGTTTGCGTGGAAAGTTGCTTACGCAGTTTTCCGACCCCGTTTTGTGCGTAAGCAAGCTCGATAAATGCGGCTCCAGTTCATCAAGCCAATCAGTAAAAAGTTTCCTATGTAAGAAAAGCAGCAAATTGCATCGAGTGGCGCAGTGGTTAGCGCTGTTGCATTGCATCAAGAAGGTCCTGGGTTCGCTTCCCAGCCTGGGATCTTTCTGCATGGAGTTTGCATGTTCTCCCTGTGCATGCGTGGGTTCTCTCCGGGTCCTCCGGCTTCCTCCCACAGTCCAAAAACATGACTGTTAGGTTGACTGGTCTGTCTAAATTGTCCTTGTGTGTGTGTGTGTGTGTGTGTGTGTGTGTGTGTGTGTGCATGATTGTTTGTCCTGTGTGTCTCTGTGTTGCCCTGCGATGGACTGCTCTCTGTCTGGCGTGTACCCCGCCTGATTGCCCGTTGACCACTGGAGATAGGCACCAGCCCCCCCACCCCCACACACAACCCTATGTGAACAAAGCGGGTTCAGACAATGGATGGATGGAAAATGAACAGACTTTTGGGCGTCACTAGCTTAAAACTGACCAGTTCCGGCAACAGCCGATAGATCGGTGCATTCCTGCATTTTTGTAATAATTTCATAGTTTGATAAAGTCACAGACAGGTGTTTTAATTTATATTCATCATACATACCTGTCGACTTTCTTCCAGTCAAAGCTGCATCTCATAACAACAGGCTGAGCGTCTGGAGTCATGCTAGTTGCCTCCATTTTTGCCGACAGACAAGGAGTCGTCAACGTGCAACATAGTCCTTCTGCAGAGTCTGAAGAGGAAGAGAGATGGGGAAAATAAAAGAATATGACATTTACATGGAGCCCTCACACACACTCCACTGCTTAAGCAAACACCCCACAGAGAGAACGAATTTAAGATTTATTTTCCATGGGTTTTAATCATCAAGCAAACATTTTTATCTCACTTCCTGTTTGTTCCAAAAATGTTCACAGGAAGTGCTGCTACAGATAAGATGTGCTTCTATATTAAGAACACAACATGTTATTTATTTCATTGTATTATTAAGCTTGAGCGCCTACCACAGTAATGGTTGACCAGGTCTTCGAGGCACTGGAACGTGAGCCGTGGGGAGATGTAGTACCAGCTGTTGTCCAGTCTGTGGATACGATAGTGCTTCACTATCCTGTGCCTCACTGAGAGCGAATACAGACCTGCGGAAACAACGCTCGTGTTAAAAATAAACTTGTTTCAAACCAAATGCAAACTTCTATATCAAAAAAGAGAAGTCAATCATTTAAATAATTTCTGAAAGAAAGAACTATACAAAACATATTATTACTGAGGTGAAATACACAAAAACACAGCCTCCACTTATTCACTCTTTATTTTAATAAGTCTACTATGAACTTGTAGGAAAAACATTGGGAGTTATACTCTATGAAAAAAAAGGCTCTGGTGCTCCTGTTTGAAGAAGTTCATGATAGCCGGAGGAGTGGAGGACAGAAAACAGCAAAGTCTTACTGTTCATGATATTCGGACATCTCTCCTTTGATTGGCTGACATAAACTTAACTCTTCCATTGCATCCATTTGTTCTGCAACGTTAATGTTTTTCATCCATCCATTTTCTGAACCCACTTGTCCACGAAGGGTCGCGGGGGTGGGGGGTGGGGCGGGGACGGTTGCTGGTGTCTATCTCCAGCGGTCAACGGGCAATCAGGCGGGGTACACCCTGGACAGAGAGCCGGTCCATTGCAGGTTGATGCTTTTATGTACATAAATAACCAGAGGCGGCGTCACCATTAGGCAAAGGTAGGCGATTGCCTTGGGCCTCAAAAACTTTAAGGGCCCCGTGATGAACACTTAACTAATATGTTTAAGGTATTTTTCCCTCTCAAACGAGTGAACCCTGTCATTCTAAAAACCATTGTAAGGAATTGGCATGAGACTGCTTTCTGTGAAAGTGTTTCAATGTCCCCCGTTGCCCAGCTACAATGGACTGTTCCATCCACGATGTGTCACGTATCAGCGGAGCTGCGGAAGCAAAGAATAGAAGAGGACTTTTGTTGTCTGAGAAGAAAATGAAGCGAAGTTATCCAAGTGGGTCTGAAAAACGTAAGAAGCAGGAAGAAAGCAAAAAGTTTGTGTCAACCCTGCCAAAGGTCACAGATTTTTTTTACGGTGCTACAGCAGAATAACACCAATGAAAGTCGCAAATTTTATGCGGCAAATGAACAAGAAGCTGCCGCTAGCATTAGAGCTAGCAATGCTAACGCTTTTAGCGAAGTGGAGGAGTCTGTTGCTGGAAGCTCAAGTTGCGTTGATGGGGATAATAAAAGGACCTCTCAGCAACTCGTGAGTACCCGTCATCCTATTAACCATTGTGCTATACTCGAAGACGTCCCAGCACTCTGGCCAAAGGAGCTGACAGACAAGGTGCTGCTCAATAGTGCAAATAGGACCAGTTAAAGTGAAGGACAGAAGTTTTCTCGATAAATCAAGAGGGGCGCAGATTCACAGTTTCTAACTAATACCTACAAATGAGGAATGGAGAAAAGATAGCCAGGTCCTGGCTAATGTACAGTGACTGTGTTATGTGTTTTTGTTGCCGCTTGTTCGGAGACAGAGACAAAATCACTCAATTAAGTGGTGATGGTTTCAATAATTGGAAAAATCTTGCAGCCCATTTGAAACGGCATGAAAGATGAACATATCACAAACATGCAAACCTGGCACGCACTGTTACAGAAACTACAAACAAACACAGCTATAGATCAGGTGAATCAAGATCTAATTGCTTTTGAAGTCAATCACTGGAAAGAGATTTTAAGATGATTACTTGCTGTTGTGAATCATCTAGCAGAACGCAATCTTGCATTTTGTGGACATTCAGAAAAGTTGTTCGAGTCTGGAAATGGAAACCCTTGGGCAAGTGGAGCTGATGGCTCAGTTTGACCCTGTCATGCAAGAGCATTTGAGACGAATACAGACAAAGGAGATCAGTGACAGCTACCTAAGCAAGGATATTCAAAATGAGCTTATTTCCCTTGTTGCAAAGCACACAACTGATGCAGTTGTAGAGAGAATAAAAAGAGCCAAACATTATGCAGTAATTATGGACTGCACCCCAGACCTCAGTCACAAAGAGCAACTGTCAGTGGCGCTACGAATCGTAAACTGTGAGATCTCAAAAGGTGTCTCTGTTCATGAGCACTTTGTTGGTTTTCTTCAGGCACACGATACAACTGGAAAAGGTTTATGCGAGTCATTCTCAGGCCATCTGGAAAAGCCAGACGTTAGGTTGGTTTATGCTTGACGCGTCCGCGAGGTCCGCACGGCTCCGCACGGAAAAGTTGCGTCATTTTGCGTCATTTTAACAACCACGCCCCTCCACCGCGCCTCCGCACGGCCCAGAATTTCCGCAACGCGCACCTCGGAAAATTTCTAACCACGCGGACAGACGGACGCGGAAAAACATGGCGGACCGGCAAGAACTAATATCGCAGAGGTTCGTGAATACAGACATTTGTATGATTCAGCTCTCAGAGATCACCGTGATCAACATGTTGTTAATAATTCTTGGAGAGAAATAGCTCGCACTGTCGGAAAAGACGAGGACGCTGTTAAAAATGCTGAAATGCCATGTTGTAAACAGTAATTTCTACTTCTACTATGGTGTAGTGTTGGATGCATGCCGTAGAGCTCCATGCTGCCCCCTACAGTTTGGGAGAATATTGGCTCACCGCAGAGACAAGCCGCATGAACCATAAACACTGCGAGTTGTGAAGCGCGTTCCAGCCGCGAGCCGCATCACCAAGCGGAAAGTGAATGCGTCAAGCATAAACCAAGCTTTAGATCTATCCAACTGTCGAGGGCAGCCATATGATAATGGAAGTAACATGCAGGGGAAAAGCAGGGAGTCCAGAAGAGAGTGCTGGAACTAAACAGCTCCTCTGTTCATCGTTGGACCATTCTGAGGGAACACATCAAGGACCTTTCAGTGAAGGCATTATCAACAAGGTGGGAGTGTCGGGTTGAAGCTGTTAAGGCTGTTCGCTACCAGCTACCTGAGATTCTGAAGGCACTGGCTGCTCTCATGGAGTATGCAAAAGAAAAACGGGATGCTGAAGTTGTTCCAACAGCTGGAAGCATCTATCAAGAGATGAAGAGATGGCCTTTTCTGGTGAGTACCATTGTGTGGTACAATGTTTTGTTCCAGATAAATAAAGCAAGCAAGATCTTACAAAGCCCCAAAGTTTCAGTGGAGACAATAAGGAATGAAATCACAGCAGTGACAGATTTCCTACAGGATTTCAGAGAATGTGGATTCAACTCTGCTAAAACAGATGCCAGGGAGGTTGCAGAGAGGATTGAAGTGGAGATGAACTGGCCAGAGGTGCATCAGAGAACTAAAAAAAGGCAGTTTGAGTATGAGAGAAGAGAGCAAACCCAGCTAACTGCAGAAGAGCACTTCAGAACAGTGTGTTTCCTGCATCTTGTAGATACAGCACTTGTCACTTTAAAGGAGAGATTTTCACAAATGGAAACCTTCTATGAGTTGTATGGGTTTCTCTACTCCACTGAGACAATGATAAATAGTATCTTTAATGATTTGGGCTCACTGATCCCCAGTGAGTCATGGAGGATGGCTGCTTATACTGAGCCAGGATTCTCCGGAGGTTTCTTCCTGTTAAAAGGGAGTTTTCCTCTCCACTGTCGCTGCATGCTTGCTTAGTATGAGGATTGCTGTAAAGTCACTGACACTAGTCAGTGACTTGATGCAATTTGCTGGGTTCCTTATATAGGAAACATTATTTCTGATTGGCTTAATGAACTGTGAATTGGAATGTTTATTATGTGAAGTGCCTTGAGACGACTCTTGTTGTGATTTGGCGCTTTATAAATAAACTTGAATTGAATTGAATTGAATTTTAAAAAAGCATTCGATACAGTGGATCATAAAATTCTTATTAAAAAAACTTAGTAAATATGTCATCACAGGGATGGCCCTAAAATGGATAATAAGTTATCTAACTGATAGGCAGCAGTATGTTCAAATAAACAACACAAAATCACATATAAATAACATTACTTGTGGTGTACCACAAGGGTCGGTATTGGGCCCTAAACTATTTATCATTTATATAAATGGCATGGTTGAGGTATCCAATATATTAAAATGCACCTAATTTGCAGATGATACAACTTTTTACTATTCAGTAGATAATGTTGAGCAGATGATAGAAGTGACACAAACAGAGATGAAAAAAATTAACTATCATTAAACAGTGATAAATCATATTTTATGATATTTAGTAATACATATTCAAATGATGAAATTTTATTAAATATAGATGAGATTAATATTAAAAAAGTTAAAGAAGTCAAGTATCTGGGAGTCATCATTGATGAAAAAATGTGTTGGAAACTGCACATAAACAGTGTCAAAACTAAAATATCTAAAACTGTTGCACTGTTACATAGAGCAAAAGGGTTACTTATATATTTGTTATATAACTCACTGATCATACCGTACCTGAATTACTGCACTGAAATCTGGGGAACAACATATAAAACTTACACAAATTCCATTTACATCTTACAGAAAAAAGCAATAAGAATAATCACAAGGAACAACCACAGAGATCCGTCCAATCCATTATTTATTAAATTAAAAACATTGAAATTCTATGATCTGGTGGACTACAATATTTTAAAATGTATGTATGATGCAAACAAAGGGTACGCACCTGCATGTTTAATCAGAAGATTTACAAAAAAACATAGCAAATATGATTTAAAGGGACATGAAATATTTAATATACCTGGACATCGGATACTCATAAAGGAACATTGTGTGTCCATGTATGGAGTTAAAATGTGGAATAAATTAAATACTGAAATCAAGAATGCAAAAACAATACTGACTTTCAAAAAAGAGATAAAAATGAAATGATTCACTTATATAGATCTGTTACATAAACGCGTGAGGGGAGGGGGGTTGGGGGGTGAAAAAAAAGGAAAAAACTAAAAAAAGGGGGGGGGGGAAGGGAACAAGTCTATGTATGCATATGTGTATATATGTAAGTATATATGTATATGTAGCGTGATGAAGGTTCTCTAATTTGTGGCAAAGGTCACATCTACCCAGCTGGGTCAAGATGGGTCAAATAGTACTTTTGAATCCACAGATTAACCCAAGGAGCCTCGATGTCTCAAGATCATATCACCCGTCTGCTGCTGTTCCATCCCAGGAGAAGGACACTTGAAGTCACGATGATAATAGTTAAATAATAATTAATGAAATTCATCGATTTTATTACTGTTTAACATAATCTCATAAATGATCACTTGGTTCAGTATAAAGGTATTTTAATTACATGAAATGAATTTATGCTTTGGGTATAATAATAATAATAATAATTATAGTAATGATTATGATGACAGTAAAAGATGTGTTCAGCATATCAGAAGGTCAAGTCCACCTTATCCAGCTAACAGAGTCCAGATAAACAAAAACTGCAACACGTTTTGATGCATGATCAAAGCTTTCTTCCTGAGAGAGTAGGAGTGTCCTGCGAGCTTGGTAAAACTAACCATCACCAGCTTCAGAACCAGTTCTTGAACCAACACCACGGAGAAAGGGGAACGGCCGTCCCTAAAACCTCCACCTGCTGTTCCAGTCACGCCGACCAGAATAGCTAAAGAATAAACAAAACTGTCACCAGCTAACGAAGACTCTACCCAGAGTTGTTGATTTCTGAGTTAAGACGAAAAACTCCTTCAGAGTTACGGACTTTGAGAAACAAATAGTTCCACCAGTCGAGTGACCCAAGGAGACTTCTCAGGACCGATTTGGTCGTGCTAGAGGTTTTTCTACCAGCCTCGTGCCTGGAGGAAACCATCTCCACCTGGACACTTCGGATCCAAAACGGGGTTCTTCTGTTTGGGTGAGGCAGACCTCGACAGAATGTGTTTGATGCTGTTTTCTCTAAGTGAAAGACTCAGTCAGCCGCAAAACATCATTTCCATCCAGAATGCGTCTTCTCTCTCTGAAAGAAACCTCCTGATGATTCCATTCACGCATCCAAACTCGTATTTTCATTTAGCTTCCATTCAGCCACAGGTTTGCTTTTAAAATAAGTTTAATATCAAAGCTGTTAAAAATTGTCATTAAATTGTCATCCTTGAAATGTCATTTATAATTGTTGTTTCAAATCTTTCAGTTTAAAATTGTTAGTAATAAAATTTCTTCATTATTAAACTTGCCTCATTATTGAAACGAAACACTGAAAAGGTTTATTATTTCTGGTTATTTGAAAGCAAAGATCCTAGCTTCTGATTCAAAATAACATATGCTATTAAATTTAACTATTTAAATTAAACGTTAATCTTTGGATTAAAATTAGACCAAACAGGTTGATGTATGAACTTAGATCGATATACAAGTATCCGGGATATTTATATATATGATATAAGCTTCATAGGTTTATCTGATTGGTCATTTTTCGGAATCTCCACTGAATAGCAACAGAGGTGATTTCAGTGTGTAGTTTAATCTCTACATATATAACTTTATTCTTCTTTCTGTGTAGTTTGTTTTCTCTCTTTTTTTCAATTCATGGGTTGAGGTTGTGTCGGCCAACCAGTCCAGAAACTATATTGTTCAAATATTTTAAGAATCATATGATTGTTTCATTTGTATTAATGTTATTTTAGTTAAAAGGGACAGATAACATACGTTTTTCTTCTTTCTGTCCCCTTTTTCATTTTGACTTTTAGCAATTTAGTTTAGTATTTTTATTTTAATGTCAATAAATGAAAATAAATTTGAAAACATAAAATAAAACTGTTAGGTCTGTTTTTGAAGAGAAAAAACACATTTTATTTTCTTAGAAGTCCCTCATGCTATTTTCAGAACTATCTTTTTTCCTGCTTTGCTAATAATGACGGGAGAAAAGAGGAAGTGTCAAGATTAAACTTGAAATGTCTCGAAACTGCTGGTAAAAAGTCAAAATACCGTTTTCATGAAAACAACATGGAGCTGCTGAACCAGACGGGTTTTTTTAAACTCATACTGTAAGGTTCTGGGTGTTTTACAGAGTAAACAACAACAAAATAAACAACAATAACATCCTCACCTACTTCCTAATGTATAAAATGTCACTGTTCTTTAGTAAACCTCCAGCTTCAGCCTAAATTTCTGGGAATCCTGCAAAGACCTTTTTGGAGGTGTCATTCAGCTCCAAATGAAAGACTCAACCAATGAATGAATCAGTCAAACTGAACTAAGCTGAGGTGTGTTTTCTCCCACCTCTCTCACTGGAGCTTTCCCGCACCAGGAATGAGCCCACTTTGTTCCCAGGTAGAAACAGCAGCTCTTCAGCCGTCTGTCTGCCCACACCCTCAAACAGCCACCTGACACGATGACAAATATTACAGTTAGCCGTAGCAATGTAATCGCTTTTCTAGATTCATCTTTTCGTTCATAGCTTTGAAAGCCAGCTGGTACTCACCCGTGGTAAACCCGGGCCACATGGCTGCTGGGTACGTAGTTCTCCTTCCCAGTCTCAGCAGAACGAACCCTCCACCAGTAAGCCTCCCTAACCACCAGAAAGACAGAATCAGGAATTAACCGCAGAACTTTTGCGCTGCCACTTCCTCACTATGAAGTAAGTTAACCTTAAAGCAACTTTTGTTTTATTTACTTAATTTCCATGCAAAAAATATGTTGGTTTCACAAATGGCTCAAAATGACAACGTGTATCTTCCCAGGCAATATGGGGCAGGAAAGACCTAAATCATTGCAAGCAAACAAATTCTTGTGTTCAAGACCTTGCCAGCAGATGGCCATTAGGGTCAAAGATCAGAACCTTCAGTAAAATAACAAGCACATCCGATTCCCTTTCATCACTGACGGCGAGTCGAGAGGTAAATGTGTAGAACAATGCTTGTGAAGGGCGAAAGTTTTCCTCGCGGGCTCCTGTATAATTAAACGTGGCGTCGCCCGGAGACTTAGACCCGCTCCCATGTATTTTAGACCTGGTTAAACCGGGCCGGTTTCATGGTTATATGTTACAAAGCCAACTAGGCTTCATTTAATTCACTTTCAAAAACATGTTGATGGATTACCAGAGATTAACAGTAAAAACTACACATTGTCTCTTTAAAGTTGCATGGCAAATTTGGAAAACAAATGAGCTTAGAACATTTTTTCAAGCCTCTTACCAATGTTTCTAACATAGCATAGCTATAAAAACATTGTGGAGATCTCCACAAATGCTTTTGGACCAAAAGCGACTTCTGTTTGTCAAGTCTCTTTTAGAAAACAAGTCTGGCAATTTGCCGATACGCTGTGGCGGCATCAGGGAGCCTTCAGTCTTTCATAAGTGCACCGACCGTAGCGGTAATGTTGCACAATCGTGTCCTTATTACAAAAGATTACACAATGGTGGTATAAAAGGGGTATGGGGGTGCCGCGGACTTCCGTTTATCTTGGACATAACTTGCTTTTTACTGCGATTAAAGTCGCGCTCATTAAGTTTTGCTCTAAAGGTGTCTGCCCCCCACAGCCCCGTTCAGTCTCTGGTGGTCTGACCTCCAGCTCTAATGGAGAGAAGCTCCTGGAGCTCTGCGTCGCTCTAGTTTATAATCTCAGCTGGTTCTGTTTATAAAAGCAAAACTTAACGCCCGGGTTTACTTTCATCTTTATTGTAGTTTTCTGCCGGAGCTTGGCAGAAACTCCCCACGCAATCATGACACCTCCCTCTGTTGCGCCAAGGCGTAAAATGCATTCCCAAGTCTGGCGTTGCAGTAATATTAATACCTAGCGTGGTGGTACGAATGCCGCAAAATTCCCGAATTACCATGCCACCACAACGCGTTCAGAAAACACACCCTAGCAGCAGTATTACGCTGATTTGCCGGCGTGTTGCGTCCTCTAAAATGGGCTTTAGTCTCGCCAAACCGCCACACTTCCCTGGGTCCTCCACTCAATACACACTCATGTATGTAGCAACAGAACACCAATGGTGTGAGAGGTTCTCCGCTCAATAATATCAGTGATGGAAGAACAATTGGCTGCTATCACTTAGGACAAGCTACCGGAGTCCCAAAAAGAAAAACACCATTTAAAGTCACGGACAACAAAACGTGTATGGACCGAGTAAACTGTGACTGGTGTTTAGCGCTATCCCGTTTCCTCTGGCATCACGAATCTCTGGTTCTGAGAGAATCCTCTTGGAGAAGATACCCGAGGCGAGGGGTGAGTTTTCCGTGACCGTGTTTGCTGTGGATTAGCTGAAGCAGCTATAAGTGGTGGTAGGGGGGTAGGATCCACATGTTACCTTCACTTTTGGATTGTATGGTCGCCAAACCTCATTAACATAAAGATCTACCTTGTTTCAGTAGAAATGAGTAGAAATAATCACTGGATCCAAGTTAAACCCATAATCACACAAAAATACAAGCATACTGTGCAATGACTCGGAGTTTGTCTCCTTTTCTGTAGATGGGCTGGCTGATTTCAGCAGAGGGGTAGTCCTCAAGCACAACCGCTATGTCATCATCAGAACCTGTAGAAGAAGAAGAAAAAGAAAATAACAACAAATACAACAATGTTTGAGATCACACGTTAACTGAATCTTGTGTCACAAAAACATCCTGGATCAGCCTTTAGACATGAAGCTGAACTCAACAGAAGCTTTGGGTTAACACCTTTAAAGCACCATTGTGCAGCACTAATAAAGCATCTTCACCTTTGGGCGAGCTGTCACGGCGTTCATCGTTCACCTTGTTGCTTGCGCTCACACCTCTCATCACGTTCCCCATCTCCCTGGGGGAGACTCCAGTCTGAGTCCAGAGAAACAAACACGCTGTTACTCAGCTTTTCTCTGCAACCGTGACATCTCTTGATTATGAAGCTAGATCTGATCTGAACCACTGTTCAGAATGGGGAAGCTGAGTCTAGATGCTATCTAACCTAATTTACCATTGCAGTTACACGAACCAGTTGAGGAGAAAGAAGTTGCCAAACCCAGTTCCCTAAACCGTGAAAGAACTTTGTTTTTGTACAATGATTCAAATAAATTCAGGATTTCCTGAACAAATGCTGGATGGTTGCACAACAGCGTTGGGTTGTTTTCCATCGTGACAGCTGCGTCTGCAGGAGAGAAGACGAACCAAAGCAGCCTTACCCATAGAGCTTGTAGTTCACGACCAGTGAGGGCATCAAATTTTGTGCTGAAGTTCCTCGTCCAGGCGGGTCATTGTGGCAGCAGCAGAAGGGTCAGACCACCATGTTCACAAGACTCTACCAGTGTGACAGCTCTGCATCTGTCTGAAAACCTTCTTCCTTTATTAAAATGAGGAAGAGGAAGAGCAAATGTGTTGCTGAAAATGTGTGCAGCGACTGCCTCGACGCGGGGGCTTTGAGTAAGCAACAGCTCTGTTTCAGGTCTTGATTTGGTGTTTCTATGACTTTTATTTTTATTTACTCTGAAATCTCAAAACGTTCCTATAATGAACGTATGTTTTTAAAAAAAACGAATGACGTAATCTTAAATATGGGCTGCATGGTGGCACAGTTGGTAGCAGATATTGCCTTGCAGTAAAAAGGTTGCAGGTTCAAATCCTGGCTGTAGCCTTGCTGTGTGCAGTTTGCATGTTTTTCCCCAGGCAAGGATGGGTTTTGAACATCTTTTTGCAGAAATTACCTCCTGTTCTGTTCTTTTTATCAGCTGTGTTTAAATAGAAATTAATGAGCAATCAATTCCCTGTTGCCAAACGTGTTGGGACCCCGTCCTTCCGAAACCCCTGACTCCAGATGTTCCTTCCAATAATGAAAGATACGGGTAAGGACCAACACCAACTCAACAGGGCGTAGAATCCCATCCTTTGTTCCATCCTTTATCAAAGCCTAAAGTCACAAAAGTGATTCTGGAAGAAAGGTTAGGAATCCCCATAAACTCAGGGGTCTGTGACCTTTATGATCCAAAGAGGCGATTTTCCCCTCAATCCACCTTAATTAGAGTGCACCTGTTTTTATAAAAGAATCACTACCCTGCTTCTTGTATTTGGTTTTGAAATTAAGAAAAAACAAAATAAACCATTTGCGACCATCGTTTCATGCATTTGTTGTCTCTATTTCGGAAAGTAAGGCTGCACCACATCACAATAGCCTCTTTCATAAGGCAGACCACCGCGTCATTACAGAGGGATACATCTGAATGTGTGGGTCTTGTAAACGCGGCAAGGACCAAAGGGGAAAGGTGATAAAACTCGATTCTGATGCGCTTAGCCTCGTAGCAATATTGCCGCATGAGCCCCTCGCCTCTGATGGTTAAACGCGTGTCAGCCCCGCTAATCCCTTTGGAGGGACTGTGGGAGGTCCCCCCCGCAACAGAGGGTGGTTGCGTTAGTGACGTATGCTGCGCGCTGAGTGCCGACCGGAAGGGATATAAACAGGGGCGGAGCTTGATATGTGCAACATGTGCGGCCAAACAGGGCGGCAGTCTGCAGGGGGCGGCATTTAATTTCCTTTCCTTTTTTTTTTTTTTTCTAAAAAAAAATTTTTTTTAGCATCAACCAATACATAAACAAAACATAGAAATCGCATGTTCTTAATAATAACAGTGATGATAATAATAATATTTCTGTAATAAAAGCACAACAAAGTGTAACCCATATCAACTACTCCCTGTCACATGACCCACGTTAGCTGATGTGAGGTCCCTCTCCTGATTAGCTCCTTCCACATCGTGGCAACCATGAAAGCTGGCTGTGGGGGAATTCTTCCGGGCTCAACTCCTGCCGTGGCTGTAAGCTTGTTGCTTTAGAACGGCGTTGGAAAACAAAGCGTTTTTCTCCCCTCATTTCATTTATACTCTCATTTTACCTCAGCGGTAAGTGTTCTTAACATCTACCAATAACACCCTTTTACTTGTCAGTAACCAGTCGATCGTTTTCGCTATAAAAAATGACCTTGTTCGGCAGAGTTCCCACCGCGAGCAGAACTCCGGTTCAAAAACGCTGTTTTTGAAACACTTTTATTTACTTAAGCACTTTAATGGGCTTAACTTGAAACCAAGTGCCATCGAATGATTATTGTTATATGTTGCCTTGAATTCGGCTATGCTGTCTGTCAGTTGTTTTCCTTTATTGTTGTTTTTGTATTTGTTTGTTGCAAACGCTACTGGAATGCATAGATTGAGCTACGTAGCCAAGATGATTAATAATTGACCTGTTGTACATTCGTGATATATTTACCGGTAAACTGAATCGAACTTGATGTGCTAATGAACATTTCTCTGGCCTACAGGTCAGGTCTTTTTTCCCCATGTTGAACTGATCTTCTTCAAATTGAAGTGGCGAGCTGGTAGGACCATTCTTTCTTTTTGGAATCGGGAAATGAGCTTTCTTCAGACCCAGCCAAGTGGTCATCACCAATTACCGACAGCATACGCACAGAGCTAGTTCGAAGAGGACCTACTAAGGTGCCAACTACTTTCATATTTCCCAGGAATGAAGGCGATGGCAGATGTTGTCATCATCACTATTTCAGTAGAACTTTGACAAGTGGTGAGAAGGTGGCCAGGAGCTGGATGTTGTATTCAGTTAGCAAACGTTGTTATATATAATACACTCCACGCAATTTGAAACAAAGTTGTAGGTGTAATGTTTTTTTCTTGTGTGTGTGTGTGTGTGGGGGGGGGGGGGGGGGGTCACCGGGGGATCTCGCACAGGGCGCCATTTAGGCCAGCTCCGCCTCTGGATATAAACACAGACAAACACAGCCTCCCACTAGTATCTTTCAACCACCTGCAACATGGCAATCTGGATGGACGCGGAGACCATGGAGCTTTTGGCCGTGCCAGCGGACGAACAGATTAGTCACCTTTTTACGGGGACGGTGAGAGACAGCCAGCTGTTCGACAGAGTGGTGAAAACACCGGCTGAGCGGGGCATCAGGCGGGACAAAAAGCAGGTCACATCAAAGCTAAAGGTCCTGAAAAAGAAATTTCATCAGTCTGACGTGTCCCGAATTGCGCGACCCTGTACGTCACATGTGTGTGTGTGTGTGTGGGGGGGGGGGGGGGGTCGCCGAGCGACCTCCCTATATCCCGTCTCGATTTGAGAGGTGCCTGATGGCGGTTTATTCTAGCTTCAGCTTTGTTACTGTAAATAATAAAATCCTCCCCAGGGAGTTGCGGCAAATCCCGCTTTGCAAACGCTCTGGTCCTGTGTGTGTGTGTGTGTGTGTGTGTGTGTGTGTGTGTGTGTGTGTGTGTGTGTGTGTGTGTGTGTGTGTGTGTGTGTGTGTGTGTGTGTGTACTGGACGGTTGTCTGCCTCACTGAACCATTGTACTTCCGCATTTGGGTCCTCTACTCACACTCACACTCTACTTACACATTCTCACATTTATCAACAGAACACCACTGGTGTGAGAGGTTCTCTGCTCAGTAACATCGGAGAAGGAGAACCAGCCGGCTGCTGCCACTTCAACTTTTGAACAAACTACCGGAGTCCCAAAAAGAAAAACACCATTTGAAGTCAAGGACAACAAAAGATGTTTGGACCCAGAAAACTGCATCTGGTGTTTAGCACTCATTTGTTTTCTGTGGCAATGTGTGTTCCGGTATCTGGCAGACGTGGTTTAGGAACGATGTTTCTAGAAGAAACTGGCTTGGCTTACCATTAATGTAGCGTTGTGGTTTTATGCTCTTTTATGAAAGAGGAACCATGCTACGTATTAATTCGGAATATTAATTTTTAATAAATCAATAACCAAATTTTATATTGTTCAGAAGACTCAAAGGTTGTTTTCATCGATAAACTGCCGATAATATCTGAGTGTCTGTGTTTCAGTTCAATGAGGAAACCAGTTTGAAGGATTACAAGTTTTAATTCTTCAAATTAAACTAATGATTTTGAAAATTGACAAACAGGAAATAACAATCACATTGGCAACTTTGTGGGACAATCTTTAACAGTTGATATGTTGTTCTTGCTCAAATAGACCTTCTGGTGAATTTATGAAGATTGAGAATGTTGTGAGTTGTGAGAGTGATATGATGTGATTATGGATGCGTGTGTGCATCTGATTTTGCTTCAGGAAGAAACAGGTGTCTGAGTGAAAAGTGATGGTTTGACTAAACTTAGGTTTAGTTGGAAAAGATGCATCCAAACGCTAAACACCGTGTTCTGTCTCACCGAATTCTTGTGGACCCTCTTTCGGATCCGGGCCGTGGAGGATGTTGTGGTTCATCCAGATGACACCGGCGGCTGACAGGAGACGTAGGTGTCGAACGGAACCGGTCCAGAGTTGCCCTCGGTACACGTTGATGGTAAAGCGTTTTGTCGACGCGCTTTCTTAAGTTAATTCACTCAGAAATCAAAAGACTCGGTAATGAGTCTGCGTTAGAAGTTGCGATTCAGCTATTCTGCCTGGCTTGGCAGAAACAGCGTGAAAGGGGGGAAGAACGAGCCAGCCGGCTCTGCCCCCCCCCCCGACCCCCCCCCCCCTTTGGTTTCAGGTCCACTCTCTTCCGTTGCCCAACACGAACTGCTATCATAAGACTGAAACTTACCAAAAACCTTTCTCTTCTCAAAGCAAACATGTGCGTCATCAAATGTGTCTGGAGTTTACTGTGGGAAGATGTGTGTGAGTGTGTGTGAAGGTCAGTACCACACATTCTCAACATTATTTAAGAATGGATTCATTAATCCATTATAATTACCCAAAAGCATAAGAACCATTCATTTGATTAAACACATTTATAATGAGCAAAATGATAATGATTATTCTTTAACATTAAAATCAAGAAAAAGAAGTTTAAACTTTAAGTTTTGATTTGTTATGACTACTTGTCCATGAGAACTCATTCTTCTGGTACCGCAGGTGGAAGATGTTATGGTTTCCTCCCAGACTCGCTGGCGTTCAGGTCTTAATCTGTGGGTGAAAGTTCTCAATGACCCAGCTTTGACCTCGCTGCGTCCAGCACCACCATTGTGACAGAAAACCCATATTTCCTCACGTTACATTCCCCCCTTTTGTGACGACATGGTGGTCAACAGAGGCCACCTGACGTCACAACCTCAATAACGTGATGCACTCGTGAAGGTAGACATCCCAGATGAAGGTAGGAACGATGAAGCGTCACCACAGGTCTCGTGTAGAAGGGAGTCTATCCTGATCAGATGATTAAGGCCAAAACTGTTGCAATCATTGTAAAGTAATCCACTTAGGGAATCTTGAAAGCAGAGCTATGCCAATAGCAGTTAATTTTCATCAGCAATAATGCAAAGGTATGCAAAGGATAAGCAGCTCGTGTGCCACACGGAGCTGGGCAGGTGAT